CAAGAAAGGGAAAGTGAGGCGGCGAGCTCGGGGAAAACAAATGGAGGATGAAAGATGGGTTTTCGGAGGATGAAACAGGAGACAGGAGACAAGCGGTGAAATAGAGCTGTAAAATTAGATGAGGAGTTCCTGCGATGAACGGGCAGAAGGGGGGCTATGAAAACTGTGGCACTGATGATGTGGTTTTTAATAGTTTGGTTCGGGGACTTCTAAATTTTGCTCATAAGTTTCGTTGCCAAGAGCAGGATGAGAAGATGGATCAGACTTGTATCTGTAACATATTACTGAGAGGCTGAAGATGGGAAACAGTTAGTTTGGTACGGGATCTAAGACTAGGGGGACCAGGTAAGTGATCCAATACATGCCCTCCCTTCAAGTAAAACCGTATTTCATGACAGCTGATAAGTATGATCCTCATAACATCTCCTAAAACATCTTTTTTGCACAAAACAACCACCTATTTCTTTCTCTTCTTCCACTTCATGCATTACACACACCAGAGGTCAGCTAAATACAACATGTGCATGGTCTTACCTGCTTTATGTGTCTGTGTTACTATAGTAACATGGCAGTGCAAGATGGCGGCCTCCATGGAAGAGGACCAGATCTGTGAACAAACATAAGACACACTCAAGTTAACCAAAACAAACATTTTCATATCCAGGTGATTAAACACTCACTGGAAAAGTATTATACTCCACTTCTATCATACCACACGTCACAATCAGTTCAAGATTAGACTATTGTAATGCACTTTATATTGGCACCTTCCAATCATCTTTTAGTTGTCCCGGGTCAAAACACAAACACTGGGGTGACCAAGCCTTTTCAGTCGCTGGTCCCAGGCTCGGCAATAAGCTCCCTACCGAAATGAGACTTATTTCCGACATGGGCCTTTTCAAATCCTGATTGAAACTTACTACTTATTTATGCTGGCTTTTAATCCCCAGTAGTGTGGTGACACTTTATTTTATTGCATTGTATTTTATTCTTTTCTTATTGCTTTTATTGTTTTTATTTATTCATTTTTATTTTCTATGTATTGTAAAGTACTTTGGTTCGCCGAAAGGGCTGTTGTAAAGGGCTGTATAGATAAAGAACATTTACATTTACAAAAATATCACATACTGCACCTTTAATTCTTTTGTTTTGGCCTCTTTTCTTGCAATCTCATTTTTTGGCCCTCCTCCATCAAACCTCCTCAAAAAGCTTTTTTCTTCCTCATTCATAATGTAAACATTTAAAGTGACAATAATTACTTAAATTTAAACACTATAGCTGTTATATGAACGCAGTGATTACAGCAGGTAGAGTTCAGACTTCCTACATCATTTTTTACTGGTTACTGTATTTTCTTTAGCTTCTTTTTTACTGATTATATCTGTGAGATACTGACCATCATAAGTAAAAACACAGTGAGGTGATTAATTGTGCATTAGAGCCAGCATTTCTCTGCCCTCTCCAGCCAGCACATCCTATATTCCCCATATTTTTCCAAACATGGCCCTGCCCTTGTTGCCCTACTCCTTCTGTTCCCCCACCCAAAACATTTCCTGCTCCTCCACCAACTCCCTAAATTCCCAAAATCCACACAGTCTGAGCTCCCACGCATTCAACATATATCATAAACCTTGTACTTTTCTTACCCGTCCCATAAATTTCGAATATTTGTATCAGACACATTCAGTATGAAAATCCCCCAAACTCTTTTTTTCTGTACAGCAGCAGCTGTGATAAGTTAAATCCTGTCTCTTTATTTAATGTGTGGACCGGTTGCATCTGCCAGGTTGTACCTATGCATGCATGGGTGTGTGCTAACATACCTTCAGATTAATAAGCTCTACACCCTTAAAGTTTTTATTTATTCAAACAAATGGAAGTAGGAGTTAAAGTAAATTCAGTCGATTACAAACCATAAAAAAAAACAGCTTACTGTGCAGTGGATCTTTTGTAAATGTCGTGGGACGAGGTTTTAAATTCCCAAATGGTTTAAATCAACAAAGGCAGGGAAAAATCCCAAGCAAGAATGAGGGCTGATGCAGACTGCATATTTTCATTATGCTAAAATTACACTCATTATGACGAATATTGAATAATATTGCCTCTCTGTCATGTGGTCACATTAAAGGCTCAAGAAATGCAAACAGGGAGCCTGGAAAATTAGGAAAAATAGCTGCGCTTACTGACATCAGCAGCACTGGGGAGTGATGTTGGCTAACAAGCTACTCCCATGCACAGTTTGTTTACACAGACGACACCCAGATCACAGTCTCCCCGTCTCATTACATGAAATATGCAGCGGGGGAAAATGTCATGAGTTGTATTCAATCTGCTGAGTGTGACAAGGAAACAAAGATCAGCGTGACACAGAGCAATGATAATGAGCTCCAGTGTGTGGGGATATTATTGACGTTAATTACTCTTGTGACATTAAAGGCTGTGCGCTGTCACTACATGAAGGTGTTCAAAGTCCTCAAAAGAGTTGTAAGCCCGGGTTTTCAACATGCATTTATTCTCAGCTCATCAAATACAGCAGCTTCGTGCAAAAGTGTGCGGTCAAGTTACAACCCCAAAAATGTTGGGACGCTGCAAAAAACAGAGTTTGATGGGTCGCAAATTATTTAAAGCTTGAAAATAGTGCAAAGATGATAAATCAGATGTTAAAACTAAAAAAAAATATTGTTAATTTTTAATTTGATGCCAGTAACAGATTTTAAAGAAGAGCAAGTTTGACAGTCGATGATGAAGATGAAGATGAAGATTTAGAGAATCTGGAGAACACAGACATGACTCTGTAGTGGAAATCAAAGCATGGAATTATTTCAAAATCCCTTGTCTGTAAACATATCTTGTTGCAATGTCAACAAAAGCAGGTTCAAGCTGCACAACCTGCAAAGGACACCAGGCATACACCTGATCCAGAGACTATTCAACTATTCAAGGCCATCCGGGTTATCATTGTTATAGGAAAGACTTTAATTATTCCTGCAAAGCCAAACTATATTCAATATACAGTGCCCAGCATAAATAAGTACACCCCTTCAGAGTTGTAAGAAAACCTTTAGTTTCCTTTCAAAATCAACATTTTCTATGTCAGACTATACAACGAAATACTCTCTCAAATGTAGTCCAGATTGCAAAAAATTTTAATAAGTTGCATTCAAAAAAGTATTTGTTACAGTTTAAAAACAGGATGCAAAAATGAGAGCACCCCAATCAAAGTTCTTGGAGCAAAGCTAAATTTTAGTTACCATATCACTCTTATTTTTATCTTATGGTAAATAAAATGTTGTGTTAAACTCAGCTTTGTCAAAACTTTGGAAATTGTACTTTTGCTCATCTAGATATTGAGAAATTACATTAATTTTAATCAGGGGTGTACTGACTTACACTGGGCACTATATATCACAACAGCATGGCTCTGCAGTAGAAGAGTCCTGGTACTAAACTGGCTTGCCTGCAGTCCCAACTTACCACCCATTGAAAACATCTGGAGCATCATAAAATTAAAATTATTTTCAATTAAATAAAAGTTTTAAATAATTTTCCAGCCATTATATTCTATTTTAACCCAACTTTTTAGACCTTATGTTTCAGACAATGGTGTTTAAAGTAGTCTGCTACCTTTACCTGGCCACACAGAGGTGTATCTCCACAGTACAGAGCGCCTCCATCTGCGTAGACGGTGACTCTTTAACTCGCTGCCTCTTTTATCTCCTTCTTCAGTCATCTATTAAAAGGTGGTTGATTTTACAGATTACAGAAAAAAAACAGACTTTACAAGTGTAACAGGAGGGGGCCTGACTGAGCAGGAATGTGACGTCTTTATAAGGAGACTGTTGATTATTTTTATAGTGTCATTAATAAAAAGTCTGGAGTGGGCTTTTAAGAGAGGAAATCTAGACAAAGAGACAGCTAAAGATGAAGGATGTGTGCACGAACTCCAGTTAGTTGTCAGGGGAGGGTAATCGCTGGAACGATTCGCAATTTGCTCTATTGATCCCATTAATCATATCGTATAAATTCAAAGTAATATAAAATATGAGGCCGGTCATAGAGCATTAGATAATTGTGTGCAGGTTATATCAGGTCGTCTGGATCAGGATATGCCAGCACCAGAGTTATTAAAGCCGTAGATCATTCATCAGTTTGGAGTACTCTTCAAACTTATAACTCTTAATTAGTTACTGCAGATAAAAAACAGCAGTGGGTAATATACTTCTATGTAACCTTTCCAAGAGTGCAGGGAAAATAAAGATGCTCAGGATTGGCAAAAAATTGGCATTTAGATTAGATTAGATAAAAACAGCGAGCCAATGTCTCCTTTAACAACTCTGGAAACCCTTTCTACTGAGTGCAACAGGCTCAAACTGACAAATTTAACGAACTTCTGGAGTTATTTGCTCAGTTATGAGTTTTGGAAACACTTCCTTTAGCCGTGTGTGTGTGTTTGTTTGCAAATACTAGAGAGTGCGCATGATGGAGAGCTTGGTGACAGCTTTGGTCAGCAGTGTTTGGCCCTTGCAGAAGTGAGGTTAAGCTGGTGTGTGAGAAGATGGCAATGAGGGCACTGGATCATGATGGATAGAGACAAAGTGTATCACTCAGTTTCAATGTATCAGTATGTGTCTCTGTGGGTTAGGGTTAAGGATACAATTATCAATTATACAATTATTATCACTTTAAAACACAATCAGATCGTTTTCTGAAAGTTTAGTCTCATTGATGATAAACTTAGTAGATGTTTTGTAATCCTGAGGCCAAAAACAGCCTCTATGCGCTCTGACATATTGTGCCAAGCCTTTCGAAGAAGAAGAAGTCTGGGTGGAGGATAAATGGGTTAATGTGTCAGAGGAAAAAACTTGAGGAAAAAAATGGGAAAGTTAATTTACCTCCCTGCAAGATCCCCAAATAACTGATGGTGCGGAGAAAGGGACCAGTCTGTGAGTCCGCAGTGCTGAACAGTTGATTTGAGGCTAATCTGTTTGTCGCTGTCAAGTTCAGGGTTCGATCCAGGCAACATGAGAAATGATCAGACACCTGTTGAAACAAATAAAGTCTCCACTGAACAACATTTGGCCCCTTTATTCTGGCTTCTCGATGTTTAGGATCTGCCTCTGGGCGGGCTCTCTCATCACGAGCTGAAATACACTTTTGAAAAATGGCTTTTTCCATCAATGGGACAGGTCTCGCAATTTTCAGAGCTAATTGCCTTTACAACCAATATGTTACAGCTTGAAACAGGCAAGGTTTTGACATGACACTTGGCAATCCCGTACAAATCCCAGCATTACAGTTTTTCTTGCCCGCGAAGCCTCGTGTGAAGTATTGTCTCACAGCTATTTGGAAAGTTGCAAAGACAAGTGATGGATGCTTCATTTTTCAAAGCTTGTTGTCTGGCTTCAGAGTGGACAAACTTTTCCAAGTTTGAAAGCAATGGAAACAGTTTACTGTGAGAAACACCCGGAGAAAGCATGTTTTTGACATTATGTACTGTCTCACTGCTAAACAAGATTCTGATGGGATAGCCCTCGCAAAAAAGGGTGAATATTTTAGAGGTAAAAAATGTGCATTCAGGTACAGAAAGCTGGATGTTGGTTTTACCTTTTGGTCTTGATTATTCTTAAATTTACGATGTGCATTCACTTGTTGGCTGAAGACAAAGCAAAACTGGAGAAAAATGAATCACCACTACAGGATGTTGAGCAATCTATGCATATGTGGACCTATATGCACTCGCTCTCTATTTTTTATCAGTCCTGTCAAATGCGTATGGGTCTCCAAGATAACTTACTTAACTCACCTCTCCAAAAACATCTGCTTACCAGCATAAAAGGAGTGTTTACTGCTCTTATACTGTTTTTTAAGCCACGTCCCCAATTGGTTTCACTGCTGAGGGTATGGGGCCTTTATATGAAGCAGGCTTATATTAGAGGCAGGATTTGATGTCAAATTCTCTCTGTCTGCCTTTTAAACTTACGCAAATGATCTAAAGGGTAAAATGGTTTTGATGCTCCTCAAACTGTCTGCAGAGCAAATAGCATCCTTGTATTGTTTGGAGACTTTTAAATGATCCATTTGGGGTAAATGGCAAAGTCTAAAAATCACCTGTTTGGCTAATCCTGGCACTGAACCATGTGCATAAGTAAAAATACACGTCATCTAGCACAGAATCTTCAACCAAAACAAGAATTACTTCTCTGGATGACCTAGAAATACTACATCTATAAATGAAGTCTATCAATACTGCTTTATTTTTATGATAACAAGGAGTTGGATTCAATCTGTGCCACTCAAAAAATAAACAAATAAACAAACCTATCAAACATTAAATGGTATTTTGATCACTCTTTCCAAAGACGCAAGCTAAGAAATTTTCTAGTTTACCATTTACTCTTCAGCAAAGTCAGGATGGGAGTGCATTGAACGCAGCTCTGTGCAGCTGAGAGTGGAGATCTCAGTCACTTTAGAATAAAATACAAATTGTACAAAACGAGTGGTGTTCTGTACAATCGTTGAAAACCATCTATAATTCACTCCTAGAAGCTGTGATAGGGGTCCAGCCACAGATTGAATATTTACAGTATTTGCCTTTCCTTCTGTGAACGGTGATACCGGCTGGGTTTCTCCAAGAACATCACTTTCTGTTCCTTTCTGTACTTCACACATATACCCCCGCTCTGTCCTTTCTCTCTATAATCACTGTGGGATGTTTTGACTGGCCGAATCCCGAGAATTTCTCCCGAGGTTGGTGCACAGTCAATCATAAGGGCCTTGGCCGATCTTTTAAAAGAACCACCAGATTAAGTTACCTCCACCCGACAGGCAGCTCCATTGATCCTCGCGTGCTCTTTTGTGGACTGTGTTCACGAACACTTCACTTCCCACTCTCCTTTCGGTGACATATAGGATAGTAATTAAGTCAGGATCAAAGCGCCTTAGGTGTGTGAGAAGGTAAGGAGTCAAAAAGCAGGAGCTGTAGGAGACAGAGGAATCAAAGGCAGGTTACAATCCTGAAGGCGAGATAGTCGCTTTAAGGAGGAGGTGGGTGAACTGGTGCTTTATTCTATGCTGGAAACATATAATCATTTGAAAGCGGATAAGGTTGAAGTGAGGACATTAGTGGAGCCACACCTTATCAAAACAGAGAACCTAATTGAGACATTGGTGCCTAAACAAACTTTTCCCAGATGAAAAGAAAATGGCCTGTAAAAACAATTCCTCAATGTAGTTGACTTTTGGACGGCGGGTCTTTCAAGTAGAGCGTTGAAATTTGCCTGTCAGGAGGGTGAACACCCAGGGATATACAGTACAATAACATTACTCCATGTTTCCAACAATGTGAGCTATGCAGCTGAAACTTTCCCCTAAAACTCAGACACAACAGCAAGAAGAGAAACTACCGACGGACATCCAGAACATTTGATGGAAGTCATCAACACTGGGGTTGTATGTCTGTTTGGCACATGCATATGTGGTCTGAACTGTCTGTGGGAATACCAGTAATAGGAAACACATCTTAGTGACCTCTGTCAAAGGTGCGTGATGGCTGATATTTTACATCTTTATCACCGGTGTCGCCTCAAACCCAAACACACAGCCCTGACATGACGGACAGAAGTATAAAACCGACACGTCACTTTTTAAATATTTTTGGTGGAACGATTGCCACGGGCGAGGAGAAGATAAACAATAAAACCACAGTGTACTGGAACGGACGTCAGCACAAAGCCGCTTCAGCATCACACAGATGATAATTTATGACTTTCTGCTCTGCAGGATTTGAACTTGGCATCCCTGACCTCTCTCACAGTCTGTATCTGAGAAACACAAAGAGCGTTTAGCACGCAAGAGTACAAACAATCACTACCTAATATCCAGGGCGAGTTACAGTAACATGATGAGCCCCTGGTCTACGAAAAGATGAATTTATCTGTCAGGATGAATAAAACTACAAACGTGTTTAACTGCGGACACTGCAGGCAGTCTTATGACATTTGGAAAAGGTTAAAGAAGTCTGTTTTAAGCTCATGTTTTGACCATAACTCTCATGCACACAGTGAAAAATGTTTGTCCGACTTTGCTTAGTTACCGTTGTCGTTTTCTCATATCAAAAATAATCAAAAAATCATTCTCATAGTCACACACGTCTCTCAGTGGAGGAAAGACAAAGCAGAAAAGTCATATAAAAAGTAATGAAAAAGAATTAAAATAAAATGAACTCAATTAACTCATACAGTGCCAATGACGGATTTTGACACATTTTACAGTTTTTTTGTTTTCTGCCAGAGGGCGCTCCTCCCCAACATGCGACCAAGTTTGGGGTCGTTCTGAATGCAGAAAAGCCGACAACTAAATCATCACCATGTTACAATAACAGAAACAAGTAAACAAGTTTGCCAATTAGCCTAGTTGTAGAGTGTGAAGTCATTAGCCAAGAGCAAACGGCTCCCGTGGGGGCGGGATCCACTGGACCTTCACATCATCAGCAGACAATCAAAGAAACAATTTTCTAGCGTGTTGTTGCCGCCAGTGCCGGTACTGGTGAGCGAGACTGAGTTTGAATTCAGTGAGGAGGACGCAAGCAGTCCATGTGGTTTACGTCGCGGCGTCAGGTTCTCGAGAGCCAATGACCTATCACAATTGGATCTCAAGAGTGATGAGGAGTGGTGTCCGAGGAGGGAGGACCTTGATGCCACTGGTAAATTAAATAGACGATCAGAGTTTCTCTTGAAAGTTTCTCCTTCATAAAAATGTGTTTTTCCAGATCGGCAAAGATGATGTGACCACGCTGCATTGAGCAGGCAATAACTAAACACAGGAGCGGGTTAAAGACTAACTTTTTTTTTCTGATAAAAGAAGAGAATGACCCCTTTCTTTTGAGACCTAATTCTAGTCCAAGCACAAGATTTTCTGTGGGTCCTGAAAGATACAGAAATTTCTATGTGGTCAGTGATGGCACTGGGTCAAAATTGCATAAATGAACCTGGCGCTAAATGAGTTAAACATGATTTAATGAAGGTCAAAGTCAGTGTTTCTTTCCTCTTAAAGACATCCTGTCCTTTCCTATTATGAGACAAGTTAAAGTTTAAAAGGTCTCACAACAATAGACAGAGCTCGCTTATTTGACACGTGTGCATACATCACATATTTGTCCTGTTGAGTCACAGTTCAGGAGAGAAAAAGAGAAGGACACGAAGCAGAGGAGTGCAATCACGAATCAAAAATACGACCAGACTGTGTCCAAAAACTTTACATACGTTGCCATATTAGCACTGAACCATCAAAGTCTATATAACTGAATATCATCATCTGACTCTGTGTGTGTCTCTCGTATTAAAAGCAGATGATTTTATTTGTCGCTGCGGCCAGAAACGTATCCTATTTTCTATCTTTGATCATCTCTTTGATTGTTTCGCCAGTGGTCGATGATAACGTGCGTTAAAACTGGAACATATGACGAGGAGCAGACGCGAAGAGTGCCACGCTGTTCGGGATTGATGAGCTTTTTTTTTTTATATTTCAGCTTCTTCCAAGCAAGATTAATGTAGGAGCTCTAATATCACATAATCTAATACCCCCAAACTGTACCTAATGCTCTTAAAATATTTATTCTCATCTAAAACCTGTTTAAGTTGGAGGCCGCAGCATTCAGCCTGTCTCTACTCTGTTATTAATCTTTATTGTCTTACTGCCAGTCCCGGGATATTCCAGTACTCCCCCTAAGCTCTGACAAAGATCTGAAGATGAAAAGGAGACATTTCCTGATATTTAATTTTCCTACAGCTTTGAAGTCTTAAACCCTGATGAATAATCCATATACGTATGGCTGATTGAAGACTGCCAAGGCAATAAAGCTCTCATAACAAAGCACAGACTTATCTGTGATGGGCCCTCTGAAAAGAGACCGACCTCTCCACATCCAAAAGAAGGGAAGAGATTCAGAGGGATGACGCATGTGATGAGTTTGAGTTCACAATTGGACACCAGTGTTATGGTGTCCCCACAGCCGGCTGCAATAGAGAGACCCACTCTGAGAGCCACAAGCTGCCAGATTTGGTCCTGGACTTCAAAAGAGAAAGACCAAGTGAGGCTGGCACTCGCCATGATGGTTATCAATCTATCATCATCAATAACAACAATACAGTGACACACACACACACACACACACACACACACACACACACACACACACACACACACACACACACACACACACACACACACACACACACACACGATGAAGTCCAGTCACAGTTATGGAAAAATTAGGCTCTTTAATTGGAGTAATGGTTTTTCCCCGGTTTGTCAGCGCCAGGCAACAATTGAGATATTCAAAATAAAAAAGAAATCTCTTTGGTGGCGTTACCATGGCTACAGGTTCTCTTCTCCGATTTGCTGTCAAACTAAACATTTCGTCAGGGTTTTGGTCAACACTAAGGCCTCTTTTTCAATGGCCGCACCAGCATTTGGGGGAATCTATCCCCTTTTCAAATGTTTTTATTTTTACTAATTAATCTAATAATCTTTTTTTCTGATTGGTCCACTGATCTATCAACTTGATAGTTCTTTTTTTTCCTTTAACAATTATTTTTTAAATCAATAAATTTTATGGTTATTTTTGTTCGATTAGTCGACTAATCTCACGACTAATTTATTTATTCTTCTTTTTTTTCTTTAACAATTGTTTCTTTATCAATTAATCTGATGATTTTTTCGATTAGTCGACTAATCAATCGACTCATTAATTGATAATTCTTTATTTATCATTTTTTTAACAATTTTTTAACCGTTTAATCAAATGATTTTTTTATTCAATTAGTTGACTAATTTATTGACTAATTTATTGATAATTCTGTATTTCCTTTCACAATTTTTTTTATTAATCAATTCAGTAATAATTTTTTTCGATTAGTTAAATAATTTATCAACTAATTTATTGATTTTTCTTTTCCTTTAACAATTTTTTATCGATTAATGAAATATTTTTTTCAGTTAGTTGACTAACTTATTGACAAATTTATTGATAATTTTTTTCTTTTCTTTTAACTTTTTTTGAATCAATTAATTTAATGTTTTTTTTTCTGATTAGCTGACTAATCTATATTTATACATTTTTCTTTCTTTCTTTTTTTTTTTTTAAAGCTTTTTTTTGGCAGATTTTTGCCTTTTTTTATTGATTGGACAGGGTGAAAAGTAGGGATATAGAGAGAGAGGGGAAGGACATGCAGCACATGGTGGAGGCTGGAATCGAACCAACGACCATGGTCCCCACACATGGGGCACGCTAGCCCCCTCACTCAACTCATTCTGTCTGCTTGTATCCTTAGTCTCATTATTGTGGTCACCACCCAGAGCTCACGACCAAAGATGAGGGTTAGATTAAGCGGTAAATCAGCTCTCTCTGATACAGCACCAATCAGCCTGCCAGTCTCATGATCCATTTAAACCTCACAAACCTGAGTTACAAAGACTCACTCCCCACCCAAAGAGAGCAAACCACGGCCTCAGACTTGGAGGTTCTGATTCACATCCCAGCCATGTCACACTCAGACACAAACTGCCCCGATACCTGCTGGAGGTCCCAGCCTGAAGAAAGCAACAAAACTGTGTCATCCTCAAACAATCAAGATGGAATCCTGAAGTCCCAAAAACTGCACATGAGATCCTGTCCATGAAAACCACAAACAGAATCTGTAACCAGGGGAAACCCTAACAAATGCCAGCTTCCACTGAGGACTTCACTGACTCTGTGCCGAATACAGAGTGACACAGCTCTCACTTTGGTTCTACAGGGACCAGATGGCTATTAGTAAAGGCCTGGAACCCTTTATCCTTGCAGTACCCCCTACAGGACCCCCTGAGAGGAGGCCCGATCGTAAGTCCGAAAAACACATGCAGACTGGAAGGGCAAAGTCCCATCACCTCTGCAAACATCCATGTCGTACAGTCAAATAAGTTAGCATGCAAATGGAAACAAACGTCTTTACTTCAATAAGAAGTCGAACATGCCTGAACTTCAGCATTTATGACCTCTTTTTGCTTTATACGATAAGACACAGAGCAAATCTACAATCACGGGCTCTAAAACTGCTCTTGATTTCAGTCAAAATAATCCGTTTTTCCTCACTTTTGGCTCCGATCATGACGGGAAATAATTAAGAAAGATGAGAGTAAACGTTCGTCTGAAGCACGTTAGCCAGCAAGACTTTAGTGTTAACCTCAAAACTATGTCCTGTATACATTTCCTACTTAAGGTTTGCTAACAGAGGAGGCAGATGGTGCAGCTGCTTCCAATTTCTCTATGAATGAAGTCTGGGGAAACACAACCGATCAATAGACTGTAATAGGAAAGGCACACCCTGACTGCAGACGTCCATATAGTCTGTCAACATCTGCCAAGGGTGTGGTAGCCAGTCTTTACATCCCGCTCCCTTTATTCACTTGCTTTTAGTGAGATGTATTCACAAGATGTTAAACGATACTTTATTAAAAACGCCAAAGATGTCAAACGGCATTACGACAGGCTGACAACAACCACCTCCAGGATTTACGGATGTTGTTGTTTTATTTTTATCCACAGCAACTACAAACTATCATGCAAAACATATAATGATCATATGAAGTACATTAGTTTGGGCCTGCAATTTAGCAACTTGTTCCATCTGCTCACAACTTAGAGTTTGTCAGTCTGCCTAGAATATAAGACGGGGGATTTATCCTTCGAAAGACGTCCAAAAAGGTGGCATTGTCTTTGATTTGGGGTTAAGTAATCAAATGTCAATACTGGTTACAACAGACGGCGCCACTTATCCGTAAAGTGAGTGTTCCCTTCGCATAACAGAGGCCAGCTGTGACTCTCAGCTGCGATGTGAGAGGGAGGGAAGAGGGAGAGATAAAGAAGATGGAAAATGAAATAAAAGTAAACACATTAGCAGATCGATTTTAGTGTTTTCTCTTGAAAATGACGCAGGTGTCTTTGTCTCATTTCTGGGAATATGTCTTTATGAGATTCAATGAGACACATGCAGCTGACGAGTCCAGATCGACATCTTATTTCAAGATATTACGAACTAAAGGTAAGACCAAGAAGTCGAGATATTTAAATCCTGTTTAAAGAAACTGAATGAACAGATTTCTTCTCATTCGTACTAGAAATTCAGAAGATATTTATTCAGACTTCTCGAGTGAATCCAGTCTAGTACAACCTTTGTCCACCAAGGACTCTTGCACAGTGTGAGTTTTTGCTGCGTCCCCCTTTAGACCGGTCTGTTTTCTGCAGTTTTAATTTAAGTTTCATTATCTTGTAAACTGGTCGCTTTAGGACAGTCATTCTCCTTGCTGCCAAGAGGATGAAAATCCTAGTATCTTAGTGTTCTCCAGGTCTAATGTGAGATTTCTCCATTCTTGCACTTCTTGTGATTCAACAACCTCGTTACCATCGGCCGACTGTTGGCAAGGATATGTGGGAAAGTTATATCACATATTTCTGATCATCCCTTTGGTTTCCCAAGTTTTATTCACCGCAGATCTGTCAGGCCAGATGATCTCCATGGGAGAAACCGCTCCACTGCTCCCACCTGGGTTGTGCAACTGCAGGAGGAACTTGAGGACGTACTAAACAGACTCCCAGTACACACAAAGTCCGCCAAGGGACCTTAACTAAGATACCTCTTCCTCAAAGATGGTTATGAACATTTACACAGAACTTCACCCGATTCATCAAAGTAGTTTCTGCTCACATTTCCATCTCAAAGCGCTGCAGCTGTGAGGACTTCTCTACTGTACAGAGTTCAGGTCACGACACCGCTAAGACAGGTCCCATAGCTAAGACGCTTGTTAAAAACACATTAGTTAAGCTCCGCAAAGCAAGACGAGAATCTCCCCTCATACGACTTATCTAATCCCCAGATGGTTCATGACTGAAGCTCTGCAGCGTTCACACATTCAAACAGACGGGATTTATGGTTTGAGGAAACAGTTTAGAACAACTTGCAATCAGGTTTTGGCCTGTTGTGGTCATGTTTAAATGTCCGCCAGAGTGTGGGTCCAGAATAGCATAACGACACTTGAGATTTTGTAATGTGATTCATGAAGTCCTTAATGACGGTTGCAGATCTGGATGTTTGTTTTGGGCAAAGTTGTTGTGCCGTTTGATGAATAAAAATGGATAATTGCATAATCCCTTCGCTTGCAACGGGCTGAGAGCGGATTTATGGGAGCAATAAATTTGGTTTGAACAGTTCATCAGAGGGTTGCTATGCTACTGACCCAACTAAGAATCAACAACTTAAGATAAAATCAGTCTCAACAAACATTTGGAGACTCCAAATTGACTACTTCCACCGAAACATGAGAGTCGAATGTCTGGAGGAGACGGCCAAGGCAGTCAAGAGCCGAGTTTACATCCAATCCCCAAAAGCTGAGACGCCGAGCAACATGTTGATAGAAACAGACTTTGATGGTTTGCAGATTATTTTGACTCGATGTTTAGATCAGGAATAAAACGCTACAAAAACAAAATAACCTTAAAGGACATCCCACAGCTAATCGTGAGAATTTTCAACAGGTTTCTGATGTGATTGAGTAGAAAAAAAAAGGTATTTCAGAGATTCCAGAGAGGCTGAGTCTCTCAAAGGAGAGGATGGGAAGAGGTGTCTGAAGAAATCTCTGTAATAAGGGAAAAAATCTATATATCTGTTGGAGCTATGTCTATACTTGAAGCTATGAGATGCTGGTTTCTGGTTTCTTACACTCCTGAGAGTCTTTGATGATCAGTGAATGTCTGGACGCTGTTCCTCAGATGCAGCAAACTAAAAATGTATTGTGATAAACATTACCAAAGTCCGTTTGCAATTGACATAGAAAAAAAACACTAAATAAACAAAGAAAAACACTCGCATTTAGCGCCACAGCGGTCAAAAACCTTTTGACCTTCTGGATCAATCACCTGCCCACAACAGCGGTGTAGGTATCATCACTCCTGAGCCCCAGATAACAGGACAGCGACACTTAAGGCATACGAAGCGAACTGCAACTCATTTGAGGTTATCACATCAACATATTTCGCTCCTACAATATCCTTAAGCCCTCAAGTGGCAATGCTTAGAAAAAAGACACGGCTCAGGGCTCATATCACTCCGATAAACACTACAAATATAAGATGAAACTGAGACCATATGTTTGCACATTTCAGAAATGCATGTGACTTCTTTGCCTGTATATCTAGGATGGACTCAGTCAAAGTCAGAAATGGTCATGAGGTCTGAGGAATCAAGAGATGACAGTCTTTTTGGAAAATCATGGACACCATGGATTTTTATATTTCACTCAACAAGAAGACGCCAAACCATATTTTATACAGTATGTACAACAATTGCACTACCTGTGATCATGATCGTGCCAAACTGGTCTGCCTACAGTCCTAACTAGTCACCCATTGAAAACATTTGGCGAATAATCAAACAAAAACTACGACAAAGGGGAGCTGTAACTCTTGAGTAGTTGAAACCCTGTATCAGGCAACAATGGGACGATAATTCACCACCAAAACTCTCAAAAACGGGTCTCTCTTTGGGTCCTTAAAGAAGAGGTGAGCACAGGCATCAAATTTACAATACAATACAAAGATAAAGTAAATCTGCCTCTGGCCTTTTTCTTCTGTCTACCTGGAAAAAACAACAACCGTGTTGCGACCCAGATATCCATTTAGAGTATTCCTGCAAACATTCAGATGAAAACACACACACATACAAGGTCTCCTTCTTCAAATTGAACGTTGTCCCACATCCACTGAACTTTCCTCACATTCTTTGGTCTCCTGCCCAGATGAAAACTTCCAGCTGCAGTCTTCAGCACAAGTCTGGGGAGCCCAGATGTGCACATCTGAACGCACCGAAATAATTAAAACAACCGCGATCATTTTCATAAATCAGTCCCTGCTCTCATGTTCTTCGATGATAACACAAAACACACTGTTCAACCTGCAGCCTGTGAGTTTTCAGCGTAACAGCTTGCACCGCTGAGTGTTTCCAGCCAGCAGTTAACATGCTAACAGATTAGCTCACTCATTGCAGTCATAGCAGTCCATCCAGAGTCACCCACACACCAGCTGCTACTGGTCAAGAGGGATGTTGCACAGGACAGAAGACACAGATGTTTTTCTCACGAGTCTGCAGACGAAACCCGAGCTGAATCACAAGTTACTATTTGACTTATGTTTGACGGATCACACGCAGGAGGAAGTCCTCGGGGCTCTGTTTCTGCTCAGCATGATGGGAAATATGACAGCATTTGAGCCTCATAAATCAGGCGAGTAGGTTTAGATTGATTTTTTTTGTGTTTTAATTAAACCATTACAAAAGTTAGTTGGTTGTTTAAGGTACGTAAAGACGGCTTCTTTGAGGCTTTAACATCACGCTATACCACAAATAAACACCAAAATTCTGACACGTTAGCACACTTTTCCATGGAGACAGGAGGAGGGCGTGCTCTGTTGTGTCTAAATCCAACAATATAAATCCAGTTTAAGCTAAAGCACTGGACTGGGATGACCTTTGGACGTTTGGAGTTTATACATACTTTTCACAGCAGCCTTGAGTGAAGTGTGAAAGTGTAGGCCCGGCCCTGAGTGTGTGAGAAGAACAAGGACTGCATGGAGAGAATTTTTTTTATGACTTCCTCCTGTACTTTCCACATCCTTGTAACTATTTCCAACTCGCCGAATTCCTCCGGTCGAGTCTGCACGAGGATTTACCAACAGAGATGAGACTACCACCCCGGCATTATAGAAGGACAAGCAGCATGGCAACTGACATATCACAACTCAATCGAACTTTGCCATAACTGTAATAACAAGATGAGAAATGCAAAAGTAAATTTGTTCAAGTTTTTAAGATGAGAGGTTGGCTCGGTTGTTTTATCACAATCTCAGGAAATCTCCAGCTGAGTCTAAAGAGAAGAAATTTGTATTTTAAGTTAAATTTTTGAGCTGTTATCAGTGCACAGACTTGACTGGTTTCAACTGGGGTGTAACCATCCATCTACGCATCAACCGTCTAGTCCTTATCCAGAGTCAGGTTGCAGGCATAAGTAGGGAGGCCCAGACTTCCTTCTCCCCGGCCACCTCATACAGCTCTTCCAAAGGGGACCCAAAGAGACATGGTCTCACCAGCATGTTCTGGGTCTTCTCCATGGTCTCCTACAGGTGATCACTTCACCATTGAGGCATCCAGGAGACGTCTTTGATAGATGCTCAAGCCACCTTATCTCAACATGGAGGAGTAGCAGCCCCACCAGGTGACTGAGCTTCTCATCTTATCTCTTATGGGCGCTCACACCAAATGCGAGTAAAATCTTCTCCTCGCTTAATATGTGAGAATCTAGACACGTGAATGAAAAGTATTTACTCACTTCATTTGCACATCAATGGTAATTTCAACGGTAATCCCAAATGGCGTGATCAAGTGATAGACAAAGGTTTTTTAAAATTTACCAGGTAATCTGACCTCCTCACTCACTTGCCTCCAGGCGAGCTCCTTTTCATTCCAGTTTTGGTAAATTGAAAGAAAAGGCATCATAAATATGGGACACACGATCAGTTTGTCCTCCATTTTAGATACCAGTGAACAACAATCCATTTTCATACATCACCTGGCAATCTTTGTGCCGATTAGTTATCGGGACGTGAATATCCGCTCAAGTTGAGACATTTTCAGCTCATGCCTAATTCACGTCATTCGCTGAGTAGTGCCGCCAGAGTAGTAGAAGCATCTAATCGCATCTTTACATTGACATGACATGTAATTCATTTGTGCAAATGGTTTTGGTGTGTGGAAATACCAAGGGAGAGCCCAGCTACCTGCAAAGGAAAGTGTTTTCCGACGCTTGTACCTGATATCTCGTTGTTTCGGTCTCTATTCCTGGCTTGTGACTAGAGGTGAGAGTAGGAAGGTAAATTGAGAGCTTTGCCTTTCAGCTCAGCTCTCTCTTCACCACGACAGATCAGACTGCATCACCGCTGATGCCGCACCGATCCATCCGTCGATCTCCCGCTCCATTCTTCCCTCACTTGAGAAGAAGATCCTGAGGTACCTGAACTCCTCCACTTGGGGAAGAAAAGCTGAAATCTAAAGAAAAGCTAAAAGTGAAGTAGAATTTATAGACTTTCTTTCTATCCTCTATAGACTCAGATCTTTCTCACCCTCTCACATTATATCAGATCCTCCTTAGAGTCCTCTGATGGATTAATCGGTGAAGTTTTAACTTAATGTACAAGTTAATAAACCTTTGCATAAACCAGCCATGTTCTTTTGTTTCCACGCTCTAATTTATCCTCATGTCATAGTTCATCGCTGTAGGTGAACACACTTCATATTATTCTTGTCCGCAACATGCAATCTGCAATTTTTATGAGACTCTGCTGCAGCCATATTAAGGAACAATGTGTGTTCCCTGTAATGGAATTTACTGGGTAATAAAACCCACAGGGGGTCCTCCCACCAGCTCCACTATTTGTTCTGCGCAGAAATATGAAGCAGCGATGTTGGAAGAATTGTCGAGCCCACCTATGGACTGACAGTGGGAGAGCAGCCAGGCCTTTTAAGGTCTGCCCGAGATCACTTGGCTCAGTTCTGATCTCGCACACATGGTTCGGCACATATGCCCATGTGCACGAGATGAAGACAGAGACAAAGACACGCACGTCATCAGGGTTATTTTGTGCCTACAACATGAGGTCACATGTTTAATGGCAGCTGAGCTAAGCCTCGGCCCTTCCCTACTGAAGTTTTTGACAAGCCTGCAATAACTTCAGCGAGATTATTAATGCTGATGATGATCCTGATGATGATTAACAGGAGGTGAAGAGGAGGGTGGGAGGGGAAGCTGGTCTCTTCAATCCCTTCCTTCCATTGGCATTCTTGGCTGCTCCTCTGTTATGCTTAAACGAAGGGGGGAGGGGTTGCAATTGTCACCTTTTCCTTTTGATTCAAGTCCATCTTCCTTCCCCACAGCTGGACGTGCAAAGGTCTTCCCATCAGCCAGCAGCTGGGCTTGTCAGCCAATCAGGCACCTGCATGATTACCAACAGCTGGAAAAGTAAAGCAGACTGGGTGGAGGGGGTCGGGGAGCAGAGGCTTCTGGTGGCGGTCGGGGAACGAGGCCAAAGTTTGTCGAGGAAGGAAGGAAGGAAGGAAGAGAAGGAGGGAGGGAGGCATCATAGAGAGCAGGTTTGTATTAAAATAACAGGGAGGGGAAAGAGGAGTCAAACGAGGAAAACAGTGATGTCAACATGAGTTAAGTGGGCGACTGGAGCAACATCTATTTCTAATCAATCATCTTCCATATCCTCCCTGATAACACTTTCCTGGACTTATGATTGGACCCTTGGTAGAAACAGGATCGCTTTTATACGGTGCTTCACAAAACAAACATGTTTTCACTGCGGATGTCCCTCGTTCACTTGTTGTGGGATGATTGTGTAAGGTCACATATAGATGATGGCTATAACATGGATTTAAAGCTATCCAAAATCCTAATCTAGTATAATGGTTTCACTGTGTAAATGAGTTTTAAATCATGACTTTAAAGGGATATTCCAGCGTAAAATTAAGCTAGGGTCAAACACACCGAGTTAGACACCCCCTCGAGAGACGAATGTTGCTGACCGCTTGCTTCTCTAGTTAAACCAACTTGAGCAAAGACCACAGATAACAATACAGAGAGCGCAGCGCTAAATCAAAATGCCACTCTATAGCCACAAATAATTCTCAGAACAGCACCTAACTTCATCAACAGGACATATAGGGTCCCAGCCATAGTACTAGACACCAAACATCTTTTTAACTTTGACTAATTTCTTTAGCGAAAAGACTAAACACAACTCACCTACTCTATTCCAGCAGGCACTTGTTTGTATGGAGACCTCTGGGTGAGTCCATGGGGTGCCGCAGCTCAAGGAAGAACATTTATGATTATTACTTCATTGAAATGCAATCAGACCGAGACACTAAGGCAGAAGAACTACTGTGTCTTCAGTACAAAATGATAAATATGGTGATTATTACGTCAAGGAAATGATAAAGAAATTATCGTTAATGTTCTTCCTTGAGCTGCGGCACCCCGCTGCTCCTGATGGACTCGCTAAGGTACTGAGGGCTGGACTCAACTCAGGGTAAGAGGACTCGACTTTGACTCGACTCAGACTCGACCACCGAGGACTTGAGACTCGACTCAGACTTGAGCTTTGGTGACTCGACAACAACACTGGCAGCCATTAAAGGCAGCTGTGGCTCAGTGGTTGCATTAGTCGTCTCTCAAAATCTGGGGGTTTGATCCCAAGTCCCACTGTCCACTTGCAAGAGTGTTCTTAACTCATAACTGCCCCCAGTGGTTGTGTTAAGCATGTACCCTTCCATGTGATGCTGACTGCTAACCATGGCGTGCACAAATAACATTTTGTCGCTCAGCGTTGAAGTGACCAACGATATGAGTGTTTTCTCTTGAGGGTGCTTCTGTTTCACCTCCTGTTTCTGACTCAGATAACTGAAAGTCCCTCCTCACGGCTGCATCATGATGTTTTTACTTGTCATAGTCGTGCAGAGCCGTGACATGGTCACTCAAAGACAACCTTGGGAAATGGTTTAGTCAGCTCGAGCCACGTTTTTAAACAAAATCACTGCAAGTTAAGTTTATCTCCTCTTGGATAGAAGTGGAAACTAAATACGACTCTTTTTTTCGTGGCTATCACATGGATTTCACCATCTCAGGCCCAATTCCCTTCAAGTTTTGATAAATGAATATCAACAACTTGGACTCTTCAGTCAGTCTCAGTTTAAAACCTTCAGATTTCTCTAATTACACTTGAGTCGTGTAGGACCTTCATGCCTGTCAGCAGCACAAGAGGTGAACTTTATTTGAAAAGGCTGATGCTGTTCCTTCATTCACGGCCTGGCTGAATTGGAAATATAAAACGCCTGAACTCAAAGTAGCCCGAGGAAGCTAATTGCTTCTGCCATCCTCAAATATTCCTCCTCCTGTTCTCCTTTTTCTGGAGACGGATGTCCCTGTGACCTCTCACAAATTGTGTTTTCTTGCAGTGGATGACAAACATAACATGCTAGCTTTAATTTCGAGTTCTGAGGCATAACATAGTAAGTGTTTTTAATGACTCTGCTTTCAGTTGTCAAACTCAGGGCAGCACTCTCACCTCTCCGTGGCTTTCCGAGCCGCCTCGGTTTGATTGCGCTTCCTCTGCACGGCCCTGAAATCCACTGCGGTTATGAAGACATTCATCACTCTTACATAAACGGCTTTAAAGTTTTTCCAGGGGGGAATGGAGCTCAAAGAGGCACGGCCGAGTCAAAGGACATTAAAGAGAATTATCTAAATCAATCACTTTTGCCACTTTTTCACCCTCCGCCTTATAAACCCACTGATCCAGTCGGTTAAGTTTATTTGGCGTCGCACCTTTCACAGAGTAAGAAATCACAGGGCGGCACAGATGGTTCGGAATAACAACAGTGAGGAATAAAACCTTATAAATAGACTCTGAAAACATTACTGTATAACATTAAAAAACACAAGGGCAAAGGTCGGCTCCATTAAAAAGTTTTCAGAGCCTAGCCAAGGTTTATTGGAAGACAGAAGAAAAAGTCCAAGAAGATAAAAACAGAGCTAAAGTTTCCACAGAGATAATGGACTCTTCAGGATCATAATGTTTCCAACTAAAGCAGAAAAACCAAGATACACAAGACAGAAAACATGGTGACTTGGGCCCCGTTTATACCTACCTGGTTATTTTTAAAAACGAAGACATTAACCATCGTTTGCATCCTTCATTTAGATGCAAACAGAGAATTCGCCCCTGAAGACAATGCTTCTTAAGAACTCTGACCAAAGTAGAGACTAGTAGAGACACTAAAGGGCAAAAACAACCAAAATGTGACTTAAACTGCGACAACAAGACACAGCTGCCAAAATTAACACGGCTTAAGTCAAAGATATTTAATGCAGTTTAGATTTCTGTTTCTAAAACTAAAGAGGAGGAAGTATGGACCTAATGCCAGGACCAGATGACCAGCTCAGAGCATCTCCAGTCCTCAGTGGACAGTACTGATGTACAAGGGTACTGATATCTGGATCGAGTGGTCTGCTTGAGCATTAGAGTTTCTGGAGCTCATATTTAAAAGACATGCTGCTCCTGATAGGAGAATGTCAGAACATGCAGGACATCATAGTTTGCTGTGCTGTTCATGGCAGAAAGAACCAGGACTGGACTACAGAGTACTAAAGGTAAAGTAGAAGACAAGTTCAAGGTTTTGACTCTGTCTCTAAAGTTCCCAGATCTTAACAAAGTTTGGCGCCACCTCAGAACTTTCAAAGAGACCTTCTGCAAGTATCTTGGTACCAGACGCCACCGCACATCTTTAGAGGTCTACTGGGTCCATATCTTATCGTGTCAGGTTTGTTTTGTCCATGCAAATGTTGAAAGTTCTTTCCAGTGTTTGTGTAAGATGCTGAGGGCTGCAATAAAGCTGCACATTAGAAGTCTTGGGACAGGAACAGGCTGGAGAATCACTGATCATCGTCATGATAATGGACTTTATTGCACATTTTGTCAGTCTGTTTATAAGAAAAAGCCCATTGTAGTCCGATCTCTCTCTCCATCTACGGTTCTGTTTCTGCACAAACAAATAGCTGAAGCATCTCTGAGTTATGGGCGCACATGCTGCAGGTGTTTGTGCTGACAAAGGAGTCATGGAACATAGACATTAAACCAGTGGCACTTCCTGTCATCATTTCAGCAAAGTCAAAGTGCTTGAAGGGGGATAAACCTTTCAAGGCGAGCTGTTGTTCTGGGACGTGCAGCATGAGGGTGAGATGAAAGCGTCAGAGAAGAGAGGACACAGTGGTAGCACTTCGGTCTGTTTTTGCTGTATAAATCTAATCTGGATGTAAACACAGCTGCTGTTAAGGAGCTCATGCATGGCCCATAGACGAGCTGGCTGTGTGAAATGAACTCTGACCCAGCGGTGAGCCTTCTTCTTCTTCTTCTTCTACTACAACAACCCTGAGAGAGAGTGAATTCCCATGGTGGGGTGTAGAATGTCACTCCAAGGTGACTCATACGAGGCCATCGCTTATGTAGGCTGAACCTCTGTTTACAACAGGATGATATCCAACCTTTCATTTGTTTCAGAATGAGAAGAAAAACAAGGAGAAAAGGAAGAAGAAGGACATGTTGTAAAAGAGGAAGAAGAAAGAAGTACAAGTTGAAGTAGAAGAAGTAAAAGTAGTGGTAGAAGAAGAAAGAAGAAGTAGAAGATGTACAAGAAGTAGAAGAAGAAGAAGTAGTAGATGTTGTAAAAGAAGAAGAAAGAAGTAGAAGTAGAAAAAGTAGAAGAAGAAAGAAGGAGTAGAAGTAGTAGTAGAAGAAGAAAGAAGTAGAAGATGTACAAGAAGTAGAAGAAGAAGAAGAGGAAGAAGAAGAAAAAGGAAGTAAAAGTAGTTGGGAAGAAAAGGTAGTAGAAGAAGTAGTAGAAAATGAAAAAGAAGAAACAAGTAGTAGAAGTAGTAGAAGTAGAAGTGTAAGAAGAATTAAAAGAAGGAGAAGAAGAAGAAAGAAGTAGTAGAAGTAGTAGAAGAAGAAGAAGGAGTAGAAGTAGAAGCAGTAGAAGTAGAAGAAGGAGTAGAAAAGTTAGAGAGAAGGAGTAGAAGTAGTAGTAGAAAAAGAAGAAAGAAGTCAGTAGAAAAAGAAAAAGAAGACAGAAGTAGTAGAAGAGGAAGAAGAGTTAGAAGTATTGGTGGAAGTAGTAAAAGTGGGAAAAGGAAAAGAAGGAGATGCAGAAGAAAAAGAAAGAGATGAAGAAAAAGAAGACGTAGAAGGATAGGAATAAGAAGTAGTAGTAGTATTAGAAGAAGAAGAAGAACTTTATTTATCCCTGAAGGAAAATTCAATAGCACCACCATCGCACTTTAACTTCACTTCAGTGTTCTTCTCTCTGTATTTATCAGTGTTGCTCTCCATAAAATTCACCATCAGATCCTATTTCAGAGGCTCCAATAACAAACAAGTATTACAGGAACTGCTTTAGCTGCTTTAGTTGAAATCAGTTTGTGTACACGGAGGTCAGTTATGGTGTTCCACAGGGTTCGGTGCTGGGACCAATCCTTTGCACCTTATATCTGCTTTATTTAAGGAACATTCTGCCTGCTTAACTTCACAGATTAACTTCACTTGAACCCGACACCTAAAGACATGGATGACCAGAAACTTTTCACAACTCTGAAGTTCTTGTTCTCCAGTCCAAATACCTTAGAGAGACATTTTCTAATGATATAACTGCAGGAGCTGGCATCAGTTCTTTAATTTCATCTATGTTGATAATCTTTCGCTGCATGCCAGATCTAATGAACCATTTTTAGCCTGTAACATGTTCAAATCAATCAGGTCGCAAAGAAACAGCCTTTTAACAGCTTTCTATTCTCCAGAGTTTTAAGAGATGGATGTTTGATGTGCATGAGTTGTGCCACGAGCGGTCTGTCCTTCAAGGCTTGATCATATGTGAGTGATAGCAGACTCCCGAGGCACACCCAACTTTGTCATTTCATATATTCTTACAGCAAGAGCGAAGATATGATCTTAAATTACACTCCGTATATCACACACCCCTCTCACATGGCACACGAACATGTCTGTATATGCACAGTCTTTCCCTCACTCGCACATGGAGTGAAATATTCATATTCTTTCAGTCCCCATCAGCCACCTAAATCAGACCATCTGGCCTTGGAGCATATAGCATGCTGCTGAGTGAACAAAGCAAGGCCATTACTGAAGGAGAGAAAAGAGAGGGAGAGATGGCAGGAAAGATGGGAAACGAGGGGAAAAGTGGGGTTATGCAATTTTAAAGACGGTCCTAACACTCCTCAGCATTTTTTTTTGATCGTGGCGTCTGCCACGGGTGACTGAATCAGGTAACTTTTCCACAGCTCTCCAGGATGACATCATCCCCCAGTGAAAAGAGTGACTCACAAGCAGAGAGCTAAACACCATCTCCCCCCCAGAAGAAACATGGCATAACATGTGCGTTCTCCCTCTTATTTCAGGCTGCGTATGACGGAGACATGTAAGTAACAGAGATAAAGCAGAGATAAAGCGGCAAAGAGAGGCACAAAAGGTGGAGCAGGAAATAAAAATAGAAGATAAGGAGATAACGATGAGGTAGTCGGAGGAAGGAAGGGTGGAAAAATGTTTCAGAAAGGTGCAATAATAAAGAGAATAAGAGAGAGGAAAGATGAAAGCACGGTTATTGGGTTTTCCCACGACGCTTCAACTTATAAAACCTGAGAAAGACAACTGTGTGGTGAATATGAGGGCAGCTCACAGCCAGATCCAGAATATCCAAACACAGAGAGGACAGCCTGACATCCAAAACAAATCCAGCACACAATCCTACCGCAACATGGAGGAGGGAAGGAGAGACGGAGAGCGAGAGGGAGAGAGGGAACACCGCTGAAAAGATAAACCCTCAGAAGTTTCATAAATGTTTTCTTTTCGGAGTTGTTGTGTCTCTTTGGCAAGTGCCTCCTCTGGATCTGTTGTTTCATGTTGTTTGCGCAGAGCGATGCTGAGCAAACACCGCGTCTAATCTAAAAACACAGATGTTTGACAGGAAATTTAATAATGTGGCCACTTCATGCCTACCTTCCCAGAAATCTGGGTTTATCTTGTGTTGAATTCACAAGAACAAAACCGTGCTGGAAGTTGGAACATTATGGATGTGAATAAATAAATAGCTAATTAGTTTAGCTCAGCCGGCATGGAAAAACCCACATCCTCACATGGCCGAAGCACACAATCGAACCGGCTCCGAGGCCAAATTCGCTTCTGATTGATTACGGAAAATAATAATATGCGAAATTTTTATGGCTACTGATGGAAAAGTGAAGCTGGTGTGAGGGTAACGCCTCGCTCCCACAGAAGTGCATCTCAGATGCGTGCAAGCAGGCTGGATCGGAGCTGTATCCTCGGGCCGGATTTGCTGCTTCTCTCAGATAAAGGTTGCTTTTGGAGCGGGAGAGAAAACCATACGGGCATCGACTTTCAGGATTGATACTTTTATTCGATATCACCCACAGCTCTTAAAGTTTCCATTCCAAGGCAAGAGGGGGATTTCTCCGTCCAAAGACGACTCTGGAGGCGTTTGGAAGTGTATAGGTGGTGGCGTGGCGCAAAAGGAGGCGAATAAAACGAAGGAATTGGACAGATGTGGCGCGCTTTGTTGGAACAGCTGAGTATCATTCAGGCCACATCAAGAGAAAGAGGATCAGATATGGTTTAAGACCGGCTGGGATCTGAAATCCCTTGGTCCATCTCCAACCAACACAATATAAAGTGTCTTTAAACTGATGGTATAACTTCCTTTAAGCCAGATCCAGTTGGGATTCAGTCTTGGAAACCCGAGTTAGGTGCAAAAATCTTCAATTTATTGGTCGAACCAGAGACTGCTGCAACAAGAACACAGCTCCTCTCATCTCTCTCGGTTGTTTTTGTGGTTGCTCATCAGTCAGACAGCTGTGGGCCATAATATCAAGGTTTACACGTCTAAGGCCAGAGTGCAGTAATAATAACATCACAACAGTTTGGTTTTCTGCCCCCAGAGCGACACCAGAGGACGGCTACTGTGGGTTTAAGGTCCATTAAGCAAACAGGGCATGACACTAACTCAGTTTGTGGCGTCACCAGATGACGAATCTCCTAAAACTCGTAAAACTCAGTAAAACAGGAAGACACTGCTCTTTGTTACTGGGGGGTTTATGTTTTGGACCAAAAAAAGTGGCTAATTTTCACAGTTTGTCATTTTAAATATAAAAAAAGAGCTTGAGTGACTTGGCGATAGTGGAAGAGGCTTCTAGAGAGCTGGAAGGAAGTGGGCCTGAGGGGTGCTAGCTGGAATTAAGTGCTTTAGATATTAAAATGAGGATTTTCAAAAGACTTCAAAACTGTAACTCATATAAAGCTATAAAAGAGGTATTTAAAAGAGACATTTAAAAACCCTGAAAATGAGCATTATAACCTACTTTAAAGCTACAATGAAGTTTTTTTTAGCTGGTTATGAAACAAAATAATTTTAATATTTCTATATGACCTAAATTAGGATGATTAAGAACATGATTATTTCCTTTAAATTATCTTTATTCTTTATTTATTTATTATACAGTTTCTTTATATGTTTATTTATTGGAAATTTTTGTTCATGAGTGCCTAATTTCCACTATTGGTCGCCTCATGGCATTTTTTTCCCCTACCTTTGGACATTTCAAAGTTAAAAACACAAGAAAACTACTTTAATTTGTTATGTATTGTCCTATTTTGATTAAGCACTTTTTCTTGGGTATATTATTTCAAGTAAAAATCACCCGGCGATAGTGATGGTGTTACTAATTTTAGCGGTAGTGTTCTAGGGTTAAGTCATTTTCCAACTTTAGCAGGTATGAGATGATGCTGTTGGAGCCTTGATTGACGTCTTCCATGGGAAAGATCCAAACTGAGCGATTTCTTTGGCAAGGTCAGACTTTCGTCAGTCATCACTTTTCAATGTGCAGGATTGGATTTGTAACAAGCTCGGGTACACGGTTGTGTCCACAAGGATCATGGAGACCTTAAAATCTTTACAGGAGCTTTAAGTTGGGCATGAACTTTGGTTCTGATTTAAATTGTGCTGACTGACCCAGGTCCATGTCTCCATATTAGTGATTCCATATATCATCACGTATGTAACTAATTCACGAACCGCCACAAGGTTGGGTTACGGGCCGATCATCAGGGAGAGGAATGCACAAGCGCCGTTTGAGTTCCAACACCCCGGAGGCCCAAACACTGAATCTGACAGGAGCTTTACACTTTCATGATTTACACAGTTTGAGTTGTGCAGAGCTCAAGAGACACGAGAAGATAGGATCGCTTTACCAAGAAAGAGCAGAGAGGGTGACGAGGAGGGCAAGGCCCACCGTAAAATTAAAGAAGGAGAAACTCATACGAGACCACACGGTTTGACCCGAAGGTGACCCCTCAATCCCTGAGGCCTCCCACTCGATGAATGGCACTAATTCAGAGCTAGGATTACTCACAGTTAAAGAAGACACCAATCCCAACACCACACACAGTGGACTTTGATTCTGTGTTCGACCCACGGATCTTTTTAATTCAGAAAATAAGGGCAATGAGGGCCGGATGACTAAGCCCCTCATGAGCTGAGATTAGGCCTCCCTCTCCTCCTCATCCTTCTCATGACTGAAAATTACTCTGCCCCCACAAAAAAAAAACGCTTGGGTGTAATAGCTCATCTCGCTCAGGAAAGGAGGTGGGAATGAACCCGGAGCTCGCCAAAGAAAATGAAGAGGGCATGTGGTTTGTGGTAACTCTGAGGAGGGAACGATCTGTTTGTGCCAGCTCCACATACTCGATGTAAAGTTTGGGTGTCAGGTTCCCACAGGAGGTGAGAAGAGGTTCTGTAATTCAATTCTCCTGGACACGCTGCACTTATGTAAAGTACCTAACACCGCTCACTTTTCACCCTTCTAGGCTGAGATTGTAATAAACGGGCTCGCCTTGCACCGCTTTCGTCAATCATGTTTATTACTCCGAAGGTTCACGACGAGGCTAATGAAAGCATAATAATGTGGTTTACTGCAAACACTCTGAAACCAAAATAGAGGGTTTCTTTTTTTTCCCCCTCCTCACGCTGGTGTCAAAGGTCTGACATTTTCAAAAGTTTTTTGCAAAGTTTGCAAAGTGCAGAGCAAAGGTTGACGCTCGAATCTGGACTGGATCAGTGAGTTTTATGGAGGAATGTAGATGTTGAAGTAACTCAGATGATAGATCTGCAGTTAGAGGGTGTGCAGCATGAAATTCAAGTGGTGTTTGATGGGAGTGAACGTACAAGCTTCATCTGCAAGTTCACCGCTCTTACAGAGACTTGTCCAGAGGGTTAGTATTGGTCTCTCTTTGCAGGTATCAACAAGGACAGGGATCCTGATAAAAGAAGTCCAAAAGTCTGAGTATATTTTACCAAAGCTGGAGACAGAAATTAAGCAAAGGAGGAAACACAACCTCAAAATCGAGTCAACATGCAGGACCTTTGACTGTCTGCAGGTTGAAACAACTCCGTTAAAGGTGGGGTAGGCAGGATTCCGTTAAAGCATCTTTTTTTTTTGGTGTATATACAAAAAAGCTTTTAATATCAATCAATAGCTATTAGTTATTGATGACATTTGGGTTTATAATGATATCGCTGTGTTTTGTTATGTCTGTGTAGTCAACATTTAAAATTTAATGAGCGGCCCGCTCTTTCTGACTGTAAACAAAGCCATTCTCCGCCTCCTCGACCTGATTGGTTGTGAGGCAGATGCTGCTCCCCCATGTTGTAAGGCACAATCCACGTCCTCGATTAACGTTGATTAACGCCCAAACAAAGTTAGCGTGCTATAACAACAGACAGTAAAAAGCAACCAGAAAGTACAGAAAATTGTCTGAATCCTCCTTTGGCCATGACTGCCAACAAAAGCAAGAAAACTAAGTAAATACCGGAGACTCTGGCGGAGTAACGGGCGCTTAAAAAGGAGGTAGACCAGACAAGGGCTAAAAAGCCGGGTCGATGGGAGACGCTTCAGGATCTTGGTGACCCTGTAACCTTTCTGCTGGACAGGTAAACCGCTTTATCAAAGTAAGACAAGTGTGTGTAACAGAAGTGTTTCTTGTCAAACGGACCTGCTGTAGCGTGTTGTAGTGCCATCGCTAAACTGTTGACCTCGGGTCCTGGACTATGTCACTTTATCCTAGTTGTAGAAATCCTGCAAACATTGTGTTTGTTGGTCGTCTGTTGGCATCTACAGTAGCACCAATGCTACTGAGGGGAAAACTGGTTTGGAGGGGTAGAGTTTACATTCAAGATTTCTCCCAAAAACTGGGACTTCCTCAGATCCTGCCTACCCCATATTTAACTCCTGCTGCTCCTGCAAGGCTGCCATCCTCCTGCAGTCATTACCATGATTGCATCATTACATAGTGATCGTCTGCACATTGTAACACCGCCATGTTGAGCGAATGTACAGGCGTGCAAGGACGGGATGTTCTCGTCCTTGTTCTCACAAAGGAGCTGAGCTAATCGAGACAAGTGCCTTATACAACCGAGCCTGAAAAAAGTAAAAACCCATTCCTGTAACTCGTCAAAATTAAGCCCCATTACAGGCCACACAAGAGCACAAACTGGGAAATGGAAAACCTGTGCCCCAAACTGACAAATCCTCCACACACCGAACCTGTCAAACAGTCTCTCCTCAGTCCTTTGGAGCAAATTAGGAGGAAGAACGAAAGAGCAGGAAAGTAGGACAAGGGAAATGTGCAAGAGGAAACAAATGCATGTTAGGAAACACACAAATATTACAATTGGATTAGGATAAATGTCAAATTGATGTTTTATTTTTCTGCAAGGAACAGCGCGGACTAAAATTAAACTCACTCCCGGATCCAAAACACATTTCAGATGTTTCGCATGGTTCCAATCCTTCAATTTACGTGGTCTGCAGGAACCTTCACGATGCAATGCCTCTACAAAACTCTACTACGTTTACCATAACACTTCTATAAATTCTAATTATGCACGTATAAAACATTAAACATCACGGTCAAAACTGTTATGATCTAAAAAAACGAAGCGAGATTTGACCACCGGCATGTACGACCAGTAACCTTCCTCAGGGTTCAAGACTTCAGAGCTGCCTTTTTAAAAATGAGCCAGTCCAAGTGGGTCTGGATGAAATATATAACAGTGCTAATGCCCAAAACCACAATCCATTTCCCAAGTGAGAGCCTGCTCTGGAGTACGGCTTGTGCAGTGAAAGTACTTATTTTCTGATTTATTCATCTTGGAACATTTCTCCTCTCTGTACACAGTGTAACAAGAAGAAGAAAGCACTTAAATGAGGATTTAGCTCGCTGGCTTGGAGATGATCTTGCAGCTGAAAAAACAATTTCAAATTAGTCCAGTTGAATGATAATGGTGTGAAGCAACGGCTGAAAGGTTAAACTCTCTTTTGTCATTCTTCAATTATGATGAGTGGTAGCAAAACACATTACTGACAGCGAGCTGTTGATGTAGCGGAGAAATTAAGAATCTTTAATTATGCTCTCAGAGGCACCGAGGATTAGCACATGAACTCAGCTGGTCCAGGAACAGTTTGATGGATTTTTAAGGGGAGAAAACAGACAGCACGACTTTGCGAGTGAAACGGTTATCCAAGAGGATGGATGTGCAAAATCTTACAACTCTGCAGAAGGTTGGAGGTGAAAGCTGGTTGAAAAATACCCCCCAAAAATCTCCAGAAGTGTGCAGCTTCAAACTCTCAGAGCAGATTTAAGAGGTTTTTGCATTTTTACACTCTTGAATTATGTCTCCTTATCATGCTGAGGGCTAACCCCTTACACAGGATGTTATTCTACATAATACATTGACCAATTGGCCGCCCCCTGAAAGTGCTGAAAGCTGCAGTTCCTCATCTGTCCACTAGAGGCTGGCTACAAAGCACCAAAAGCCACATAAACACCCATTCTGAAATGGCCATTTTTACAACATCAATTAAATATTTTTAGCTGGTTTCAAAAATGACTCAAACCACTTCTTATTAGTAAGTTGCATGGCTGATTTGTCAGACAGGCAAGCCTACTACAGGTGTAAATTAGGGTGACCATATTCTGAATCCCCAAAAAGAGAGCACGACTACGGGGGCAGAGTCACAGAGTCACGTGTAGTTAATAATAAGAGGTTTTCGGGTTGGGTAGAATGTTACTTTTACGCACTTCTAAATTAGTTAGTCCATGTGACACAAACTTAAAACTTCCCACAAAACTTGGACATTTCAAGGATTATCAAATGATGGGTTAAAGTGCAACGTCTAAATTCTGTCTAAAAATGTACGGAATCTAGACGGTTGAAATTAGGTCTAAAAAAAACTAGAAGTCTGTTGCTCAGTGTGTAGCAAACATATGCTAACCTAGGATTCTTCGTTTCATATAAAGCTGTGTAAAAAGTAACACCTACAAGCTGTTTTACTTTGTATTAGAGGGAAAACAGCCACAATGAACCATGTTTTAAAAGGTACTCCATTGGTGTCCCATAATGGCAAAATAAAAGATGAAACGAGTTTTATAGATCTCAATCTTGGTCGTCAAGAGTGGGGATGTTGCAATATCAGATTTTCAAAATGTCAAATAATTGCAATTAAAAGGGAAAAATAAAACTCCATCAGTCTAGTAAAGGAAATAGTGAACAGAAGTGACTTAATTTAATGTTATCATCCATTATTTATCATGTTCAAAGTTATGTGACAGAAACTTCTGATTGTTGTCCACACACACCTTTTTCTTTTTCACACTTCTCACTTCATCTGGCATCTCCTTCAACATGATTTGAACCTTTGACTTACATTATAACTAAAGCCTTATTTTTGTACAGGACGGACTGATCGTGATGGTTTGAGGCGACTTAAAGCAGGAATATAAAGGAGCTCACCTGGATGAAGGTGAGCAGTGACACTAGAGATGCAGAAGAAAGCGAAACTGCTAGCTGCAACACTTCACTGGCACACTGTACTGCAGTTGCATAATTCCCTGTCCTATCAGTGCCTTATCCGTTCTTTGTGGGTTCGCCCCTCAGCGGGTGAATTTTTTCTCCTTGAGCAGGGATGTTTTCAGCGATACTGCCAGCAGATGACACCGCCATGGCCTGCTGACATGCCTCTGACCTCACAGTGGGAGAGGATGTCGATGAGCAAAAGGAAGAAGAAACACAGCCACCGCCCACTCTCCGGCTTCCGCTGAGCTGCAGGACTCCTGTCAAAGGTCCAGGACGCTGTCATTCAACCTTACAACAGCTCTGTCTTCATGTTAAGCAGTCTGGGTTAAAGGTTAAGACGAGTTCTCGGTAGTTTTCTCCGCTTCTGTTCGAGCCATTACGCGAGCCATGTAGGCAGATGCGGATCTCAGAATGATTAAAACACAATCCCAGACCACACAACATATTTGCTTGAAGGCCTGACGGCAAACCTTTCCAGCATTTATTCGGTATATTTTATTCACCAGACATTCTTTCAGGCCGCAGATTTACAGCAGATGACAGTCCGGAAATCCAAGCCATATATTTGAAAATTAAAACAAAGGTAAACACGCTCATTATCTAAAACTGCAGAAGAAATTACCATCATAAATCAAAGGCAGGATTCCCAGAAGTATGAAAATAAGGTAGTAAAAGAGTATATTGAGCAATAACTCCAACAAAAAATGTAATTCTGGATGACTTTTAGTTGGACTTTTTTGTTTTTTTGCAGAAGAAACAGTCTTAGACCAAACAAGCAAACTGAGCAGTGCCAGAATAGTAGTCAAAGTGTTGCAATGCTACCAATTTGAAAACCCTTAATTGCACGCTTGGGATGCCGAAACAAAGAAACCTTCACTTAGCGATGCACTCACTCATGAAAGGACCTTGAGAACCTTTTCTGCAAACTTGACACAGGAGCCGTGTGATGTCTACTGTTGTGGATTAAACATTTGCTGCTTTGTGGTTTTCCCTCCAAAATACACTTGACTCCTCTCCAGGAGATGGTGGAAGACTGTTCCCCGTGGACCTTTGATGGAAATTGATCTTGGCACATGTTTGAAAGCCTGGCTTCGGAGGTACGTCATTTACACACATGCTCACTTTGTGTCTGTGAGAACATGCTCCCCGCTCTTCATGTGAACGCTGTAATGGGCCTGGGAACATGGAGGCGTCTGCCTGAACTCTGCGTGCTCCTAAGCAACCGTATCAAAGTAAACTGAAACACGCTGGCACTTGGTTACCAACGGAGCATGAGAACAATTTATTTCCCAAAGTCTGACATGCTCTTTCTGAAACTTGTGTCATTGTAAGAATCTGACAAGGGTGGACAACTGGCTACTGTCGGATGGAAAAAAGGCTGAGATTCGACTGACGCTGCTACGCCAGTTATTTCAAAAAAAGGGGGGACTGGGTTACGAGCTGAGACTATCTTATACGGGTCAGCTCCTTACGTTTTGATATGGAAGTCTTACCGATCAACGAAACCATCTCCTCTAAGGTGACCATACATCCTCTTTTACCGGGACATGTCTTCTTTTTTGGGGCCCTTGTCCGGGGGAGTTTGTAAAATCCTTCAAGTGTCCGTGGTTTTGTTTGGAAGTTTTGAGTTTGTGTCAAGTGGACTTACTAAGTTAGAAGCACGGAAAAACTCTCGACCAGACCTGAAAAACTCAAAATTTACTATGCGCGACTCCGTGCCTCCACCCCGCGTAGTCGTGTCCTCTTTTTGGGGATCAGAAAAACGGTCACTCTTACTCCTCCTGTTGGAAATCAAATTTGAATCACCTCCGATTAAACCATCTGTTTTAAAACTCTGTACGTCTTCACCCCTGTCTCAATTCAACTCTAATATAAGCTGTCAGCAGCGTTTTTGTCTCCTTAAATATGAGATACCGATTATTCACCATTTCAGAGACGTGGGTCTCTGCGGAGGAGCTCAGGTGTTAAGTCGTTTGCAGAGAAAAGGAAAAATCGGTGAGTAAGGTGGAGAAAATCGATCCTTAACTATTTCCGTTTGTCTCTCTGAGGGGGAGGACTTTCCTCCGTCTCTTTCCCACCCAAGTTTTCCAAACCGATCCTGTTTTTTGGGAACGAATTTGATCTCAGTGGGAGTTCCTCTGTTTTGCTAAAGGCTTAATGGTTTCACAGGTTTAGTCGAGAACTATTTATGGTGTCAGATTTGACAAATGACTCTCAGGAGTTTTTCCAATGTCAAATATCAGCCCACTTGTTACTGGCATGTCCAGAACTCGGACTGAGCACGCCCCTCACAGTACTCCCCACCCTGTCACTCTGGCTCTTCATGAAGAAGTTCATCGATGAAATGCTAACTCGAAGTCCCGGTGTTACCTTCGGCAGCCTCGCAGATGTCAGCCAGAGAGTTGAAAGTTGAGGTACAAACAGTTCTGGTCTCTCTGCGGGAGCTGTGCTCTGCTCCAGCTGTGCTGCTGTGTTTGAGGGCCGGGGCGCTGCGAGTGTGTCCAACAGAGTCTCAGACAAAAGAGCACTCCCTCTTAACTTCTCTGGAGGGAACGTCGGATGATTTGGCGAGGTGTGTAAGGCGTCACACACCCTGCTGACAGGCCTGTCAGTTCCAAATCCACGGCTGTGCATCAGACAGATGCTCTGTGAGTCGGTGAGGAGACCGTGTTGCTTCTGCTTATCAACACGGCTCAAGTCCGTGATTCATATCCAGGACGGGTCCAAAGAGACTCGAGAACTTTCACTCAGTGTGGCCCGCTCTGATCTGAACAGATACCTCTCTCTCTATCTGTGTTTGAGATACTCGACACTTATTCAGCCGCTTCGTCTGCTCATTTTCAGGTCATACTCTGAGGTAAGCAGGCGCACGTACATGCACTTTAATTTTGCTTGTGGTTTTGCAGGATTTATTAGTCACACATAATTACCTTGGATGCTCGCTCGGGGCGATGCAGTCACTGAAACTGAGATGTGTGTGTGAGGTTTTCTGGCTCGATCGACCTGAGGAGGCAGCGGAGTGGAAGGCCTCAGCTCTGTCAGATGATTATGTGAAACACGGGCTGATAATATCAGATCAGAGGTTGAAGCTGAAAAACTGTGAACTAGAATTAAAGCAGGACTCACAAACACACACAGTGACCCTCATCCTGCTGTACTGATGTTTGCCTTTTAATAGTCAGTATTTTTATATGCTCAGTGAAGTCAAACGACAGTCAGAGCTCAGCTACAGGATTTAACTAGAATACTATTCTTGTCCCAGATTACTCACATCCTTGTGACCTTTTACGTACCAAAACAATCGCCAAAACACTTCAGCAAACAGCTTACAGGATGTCTGACACCCTCCTATTTACAGCTGTGTGCCTTGTATTAGTATGATATGACAGTTTTAGCTTTTTTTCACGTCATTTCAACTTCTGTCGAGGTTTTGTGTTTATACCCTGCTTCCTTGCAACAAATCTACGCAATTCAACTTCTGGGACAAAACTCAGAAAACGAACTCTTGGGCGATTTTCAGCCCAATCCACATTTCTACACCACATAGAAAACCCATCCTATCCATATGTCCATGTAGATTCTTATTCATCCAGGTCATGGTTATCTCAAAGACTCCAAAATCTGGCAACTGGACTATGTGGAGTTTGAGAAGACGTTTCGCCGAAGTGAAGAATCTTCTTGGATAAACGGCGAAACATCTTCTCAAACTTTACACAGTCCTGTTGCCTGATTTTTGAGTCTTCGAGAGTCTTTGAGATCCTATCCATATTATTCAGGAATGTTAGTCTGACTATGTGTGATTTCAGTCTGACTAATGTGTTTAAAAGTCCAGTTTGAATCTGACCAATGCTATAATTAGATTTCTTTAATAACATGTGGACAGGGAGGCCTCTAATCGAACTGCCGACTGACTCCGAAAATTCGTGTTAGTTTTCATTTTGACTTTATTTCAATTTCAAGAGTTTTTGATACTTTTGTGTTTGTATATTTGCATATTTTTGTATTATTTTTTATATTTTATTTAAAGCTCCAATGAGAGACTTTCAGTTTGTGTGAGTTTTGGCGCCCTCTGTGGACAAAACAAACTTGCGTATCCTGTCCTCTACATGCTTTAGAAGTGTCCTTTTATAGAAAATCTCATCCTCCTGACCTCTGACACTCAAATTTGTCTCTTTTTTCTTCTGTTAGCTCCTCGTTCACGCTGTTTAACAATCATCAGTCCTGTTTCTGATGAGCCTTGAACTTCAATCCTCTCTATCAGCCATAAAAGACGGACTCTACTTTTAAAAAACTTGGATCACTGTCGGCTCTTGGAACGTGCGATGGAAAACCAGGATAAGAAATATTTCCATATTGTGACTAATTTTGTAAATGAACTAAACTGCATGTCTTGCGGTTACGATAAAAATGCAAAGCAGAGTTCGACCCGTAATTTGGATATTTATTGTATCAACTTCCCCGCTGCGTTCAGCCGAACTATTGTGTTTTCTAACGCAGCCAACATCACCGTCCATCTCTCATCCGTCTGACAAACAAGTGCTCATCCAACAAAAACAGCGACACAAATTGTGGTCTTCTTTTGCAGAAAGAGAAATCAACACACACTCACTCAACAATCACTTTTAAGAAAACCAAAACTTTCCAAAACAGCGGGGAATGTGCGTCTCCATTGTCAGAGTAAAAGGTTTGCTGGGTCACTGGTTTGACTGGTGATGAAGGAGCTGACTCAGCAGCGCAGCAGCAGCAGCAGCAGCAGCAGTGAGAGAAAAAGTCCCAGCGATGAAAGAGGAGATAAGTGTTTCACCGGGTTGAGTGTGTTCTGTTTTGTTGGTTTGATAAATTCCCCTTCACCGAGTACGCCTTTCCTAGAAAGAGCCAAACCGCCGCAGAACAGAAGATATTCCAATCAAAACTCCACCACAGCTTCTCCCGCTGACTGCACCCTGACACACTGACACAGCCAAAGAAAGCGCTGCACACTTTGCATTACAAAGCTTAATCTACCGAAAAGATGTGGAGAGGTTTCCTTCTTTTTTTTACATTTTGGTGAATAAATCTTATCAATGAGGAGAAAACCTGAACTCTGAAAGCTTTGACTCTATAATACTGATTGTTTTGGAGAGATTTGACCTCAATGTGAATCGTCAAGAATAGCAAGAGTTTAAAAAAAAATACTGCTCTCTGGTCATATGGAAAAATCATGCAGCCTTTTACTTCACAACAATGAAATGCAATTAACTGCAGTTCCTCGAGTGTCCACTTGAGGTTTGCTGCAAAAGTGGAAGAATTCCCATTTGGTCCCACTGTTTTCACAGCAAAATAAACACATTTGGGGTATGAAGCTCATCTACTCATTCTTCTTTATTTCATATGGTGCAACAATAATAATATAAAGAGGAGGAATTATAGATAAATGGTGCATTACAGCTGTTAGCCAGGAAGCTAATAGCTAGTTTCAGCTCAACTTCTTTGTTTCTATGTTGGTCCAAAGTTTAAAAAAATACTGCTCTCTAGTCAGATGGAAAATCATGCAGCCTTTTATTTGACAACAATGAAATGCAATTAACTGCAGTTCCTCTAGGGTCCACTTGAGGTTTGCTGCAAAATTGGAATAATCCCATTTGGTCCCATGTTAAAAATAATACTTTTCACAGCAAAATAAACATGTTTGGGGTATAAAGCTCGTCTATTCGTTCTAAAATTATATTAAGAGGAGGAATTTTAGATAAACTGCATATTTAGCGCCATAGCACCTGTTAGCCTGGAAGCTAATAACCAGTTTTTTCATTGGTCCAAAGTTTGGCTGAGTCACGGAGCTTCAGGACCCAGTGGGGAATATCATGTAAACTACATTTAAAAACTTTATTATTGCATTTACATTTATTTGATGATATGAGGGAGAAATTGTCGATATTTTTTAAAACTTTTTGTAAATTTTTGTCATCTGTAGGTTGTTTTCAAACTCAAAACTCAAAATGAGGCCTTTACAGGACGTTTACTGTTGGTGATTGTAAAAATTACTTTTCCAGTTTAGCTGGATTTGGGTCTACAGGGTCAAATTTGTCCTTTCTTGGTCCATTGAGGCCCTCGAGTAAGTAACTGTCCATCTATTTAAAGTATTGTAAGATCTTAGTGAACCAACAGAGGATTTACTCTGACTTTCTCCAGGAATAGGAAACCCAGAAGAAACACCAGATTTCTTCTGATTTACTTACAATGTACAGGTCTTAAGTTTGTTGAATTAGCACCAGGATAAATGTGACAAAGTAAAAATGCAAACTTTGTCAGGTCTGTCCTCAAAAAAAAAAAGAAAAAGAAAAGAAAACACTTAAAAGGGTTAGAGATCACCGATTCGAGCCACAGTCAGAATCTCCCACCTGCTTTTGCTCCCCATACACCGTCTTGCATACACCAAAGTCTGCTGGTACAAGATCCCCCATTACTGCTCAGACTTTTACTGCAATACAAAAAGAAACAGGCTTCTTGAATAGCTTCTATAAACCCAATAACATGTGAGGACAAAAAGAAATAGTCTCTGAAGAAATAGCTCTCTGTCTTATTACAGCCGTCCAAATTTCCACAGTTATGAAACTGTAGACAGGACTGTAACACTCAGCACCACAACACTGTTCACGCTCTGTTATCGAGGCATGCTCTCAGAGTCCAAATGGAAACCTGCCTTTGCCTTATTAATTACCAGGAATGCACTCTCCGAGTAGCCCTCCAAAACCTGAGCGCTGAAAAGTATGCCATCAAGAAGCCACAAGGCATGTAAGCCGTTTGTTCTCAGGTCCAGCCCGTGTGCCCACGCTCCGGTTTCAGGGGAAGAGCCAAACTATCTGTGCTCCAAAGGAAGAGGATGTGTAAAAATGGGAGGGGGGGAAGAAAGGGTGGAGTTTCTGTCTTTTCGGGAAATGGTCTTTGAACCCGGGAGCGCTGTTACAGTTATAAAATTACCTTGTCATAGTTCATGGAATAAGTGGAATTTGGATTTGAACGTAAATGAACAACAGAGCATTTACTGTATGAGGGCACTGAGGGCAGACTCTGTTTCACTTCACTGTTTGATTCGGAGAGAGGAAAGTTATGAGGAGCCGGGCAGGATGTTCGAATTCCTGTTTTAGGGAGAAACACGGAAAAACAGGAGCAAGTTAGAGGACGACGACCGGGACTGATGACATCAATCGACATGTTAACACTTAAAATCCCGATGGATCACCGGCGATCCCACGTGACACCGTTAATATTGTTTACAGTTTCTCAGGAACTATAACATGTATCTCTATGGGATAAAAATGTTCAAAAGCTTACACTTTTGGCGATCTATCAAGGGTTTCCAGGTATTTCTACTCCTGCCACAAAAACAGGTGTTTGATCGAAGACGTTTGATGGTAAATCTGCAGTGATAAACCGGTGAAGACATGATTATTTCTGGATTCTGGGTTTGACATCTGTTTTGATGATGTCTTTTTCTGTCAAACTTTAGACCAATTACATGGTCTCATATTCTTCTTTTATTGTTCTCTTGATGGTAGTGTCCAATAAGAGGCAACCAAAGATCAACAAGAGACAAGAAAGTTCTCTGCTTGTCTGCAAAATAAGAAATAATGGTCCTCAATGTTTGGAAACAACCAGAGAAGAGATTATGAACTGCTTCAAGAAGTGGCAAAAACAACTGTAAATAGTAAAAAACGCCTGGAAGAATTATAAGTGTAAATATGTAAATAGTTTCTGTTGTGTGTTTGTTCCAATCTCACTATTTCCTCTCCTGGTAGCCAAGACTTGAGACAATGATGTGCAGGTGAGAAAAGGCTTGGTCACTGTAGATTTATGTGTTTTTTTTAGCAAAGTACTGTTGGTATCAATTTCCGTTTTTGTTTTCTGGTTGACTTTGATGGTTCTGAATCTACTGTCACATTCATTTTACATTATTTTTGCTCCATAAACTGACAGCTGAGGTTGTCCTGAAAAAAAGATGTGTATATATTTGCTGTGCTTGAAAGGACAGAGGTGCTACATGATTTTTACCAAAATCAGGTGGACCAAAAATAGCAAACTATAGCTGTGAGGTCTAAGGGTTAATAAAGCTTAATTCTAACCTGCTGTGTATTTACCCACTCTCTCCTCAGATCACTATTTATGACAACTCTGTTTCATTGGGTCGTAGATGTCTACGATGAAAGCGTGCCAAAAAAGATTTTCCGGGCTTTTATTTTGAAGTGCCGTTCACTCTCAGTAGCAGGGTAGTTAATTCACGCTCCAGCACGGTGGGTGGTGGAAATGCACCTGAGCAGAGGTAGTCACCCTCAATTGAAGTTGTGGTTGCCGACGCTGTAAAGGACTCACACTGGACCAGCTGAGACCCACTTCTTCGCCGCGCGGTCGTAAAAGCGCCTGCTGAAGCCTGGAAATGATGTTAGCTGAAAATAATGAGGTTTGTCTGTTTTATGGAGTGTTATCAGGCTTTGGTCAGACTCACCAGGTACGGAGCAGGTCTTAGTGGATGTTTAGCTGAGTCAGGCTTTGGGGCCATGCAGAGGTCTTTATTTTTAGGGTCTGGGCCAAAGCCCAGGTGTAGGCTGTAATTCCCCATCTGGACAACATAACTCAGGTCCTTTGGGCCCAGCAGGAGGTGGAGCAGACCAAACCAGAACAGGCATGGCTAAGAGTAGCTTGACATTGTAAAGTTTTGCCCCCCTTGTGTTGCAATGAAAGCGCTCGTACATCAAAAAATTTCCCCCATCGTCCTGCAGTTTCTCAGAGATTCCCAAGAGGCGGTGCGACGTCTAGCTCAGAGGAGACGTTTCAGCTGTTTTCAAGGGGGAATTCACTTTAAACTAATCTCATTTACATTTACGTTCACTGATATTTGTGGGGATTTAACCAGAAAAAAGGGAAAAAGCAGCGTCTGTGGATTTTACCAAAGGAAACAGATTGTTAAAGCTCTAAAATGGTTACGTTTTAAAGCAGTAGCTAAGCTTTACAACCCGGTCTTTCCTGGAGAGTTATTCTGCAAAAGGGCGAAGCGTGCTGCTGAGTTACACCTCCACATTTTAAAGATGGCATTTCATGGAAACTTGGTCTAAATATAGAAACCAGACAAATTCGAGAAACAGACAGAACGGCGTAAATGCACAGCGATGACAATCCTCCCTTTTGTTCCAGGGGTTTTTACAAGGTATGTACACACACTTTCACACCCACACACACACACACACACACACACACAGACACGCACACTTTTTCTTAGCGATTACCTTTGGGGTTATTACAGCAGTCTAGACAGAGAAGACAAGGACTCGTGGGGAATGCTCATTGTAGCACAAATTCAGATGTCAACAGCAGCTTAACTGAAGCTCAGAGGAGAATCAGGAGCCGTGTTTTTGAATCACCAGATCAGTCGCTGTCATCTGAAGAAGTAAGTATCGACACCTCACAGCGCTGATGTTTACGGCTGACATCAGAGATGCTTTTGTGCAGGCGGTAGTGATGATGCTTATTCTTCACGTCCCCTCAGTCGTTCAAATCAGAGCGACTAAAATGAACCCAAACCACGTCCAGTCGAGCCCCTATTACCCCCAATTTCCACCGCATCCAGAACGGCTGTGAAAAGGCTGTATGCACCGATCGCAGCTGATCGTTTCCATTCACTTAAATGTGTCTCTGCAGCTGATCGCCAGAGTTCTATTTTTTCTGGACGACAGAGCATGCTGCATAAATTCAGCACAGATTAACCCGTGCTGGAAAGGAAGTCCGGCACAGACACAAAATAAAACATCCGGCTTCTTTTCCAAATAAAACACTACATGTTTCAGTCGGATCGTATTTCACACCATGCAAACATGGGCGGGAACAAACAAATCAGACGTCATTTCACCCCGTTGACACCATGGATGAGGGGATGATGATTCTAGATGTCTAGAGGTAGATTTCCTCCTCTGAAAGGACACAATCTACTGCTTTTATGGTTACGTGGCCGTCTTTTTAGAGACAACTCGTCATCGTGTGATTGCATGTGAATTCTTGGGTTCTTGTGACTCCTGCTGTCCGAAATCCACCACGAAATTTGCCTCATAAATGCATAGGGTAGGAATTGGCGGACGGCGAATTTACTGACATGATACTCTGACTGATCCTGCTGGTTCATGATTGAAGTTTCAGTGCTGTGCATTATAAATGAATCTGCACCACAGCTTTTCTTAATGGAAAGACGTACTTGCAGATTTCACTGTACCGAAGGATCCCTGCAAGCTCAAAAACACCTGCAACCCAATCCAACCGCTACTGATCAGGATTTCAACCCAACAAAGATCTGGAACTCAGTGGTTGAGTCCTAACATTGCTAACATTACCATCTCGGTACTACTTAGTAGCAGAACTGTAAAAACTGTTGTTCAGGACTGTGCGCAGCGTGCTTCCTACCTTCTCGGCTACCGTAATAACCTTTGTTCTAGTCCACATGCAACAGTTTTGTTCTCATTTATGAAGCACTTAAATCAGGGGCATTTCCAGGGACAGCTTCAGGTGGGGACAGGTCATCGGAAATCGGGGACATCTGGTCACCTTACATTAGTAAGTTGGAGCAAGTAGCTGCATTTTCAGTGTGCAGCACGGAGAAGCACCACCAGACATCTGGTGCCCCGAGACAGAGGATTTCCTGCATTAAATACAGAATCAGAGGTCTTCTACCTCAGCGATGAGCTCTGAGTTGTTGACTCCAGGTTTGGCTTTGCTGATTGATGCATTGTGCTGTGCGAATCTGCTGGGGAGGGAATTGGGAGGTAAGCGAAAAACCTTCCTGCCCAGATGCCATGGTGAAGCAGAGTCCAAGCAAAAAAGGATCTGATAAGATTTAAGGGTCCTGATGGTTTTTTATGCTCACTAAAGATGTTCTGCTCTTCCTTGCAGGAAAAAAGTATAAAAACCTGAATCCTTGAGCACCCCTTAAAGGTACCAACATACATGAATATAGTGTAGTGTAAAAATTAGCATCTATTTTGTGTCCTGTTGAGTCGGTGAGCTGACAGCTTGATCAATACCAGGATAAAAAAATGCAACTTCATCCTTGCCGAGCCGAAGCATGGCGTCTCTCTCGCCGCTGTGAGCTAATCCACACATTTCTCTTTTCCTGACATGTGCTTTCTTAATTAAATCTGTCACTGTGCTGACTTTTAATTAAAGTACAAAGCCTCGAGAAGCATTTCTTATGCAACATAATGGCACTGTCATCGCTCGTAAAACTCTTTGACTCGTGCTTATGAGAAGAAAAAAACAGTTCCCCTGTTTTAAAAAAAGGCCTCGCTCATTAAAAACGTGCCTCTGTCTGGAACGCTGTTGTTTTACTTAAGCTCTCCTCAGATTCAGACCAAAATAAAGTCTTTCATGTTCGCAACACCTTGTTAAATCCTCCAGAATCAGGGCCTTTTCAAAAACAGACATTGCATTACTCAGCGTCTCATTTATCGGAGCAGAACAGTTTGGACTATAAGCTCAATTAGGAGGTGGTCACGGGTTTAATTGACGGGCTCTGAGGCAGAAAACTGACCGACTAATTGAAGCAGCGGAGCCAAAAATTTGTCGGTTCTGACCTCGTAAACTCGACAGAAAAGTACAACCACAGCCAAAGCGCAGCGAATGAAATCACCTTTATCACATGTCGGTGTTAAAAAAAGCCTCGGCTGATTACGAACTGCAGATTTAAATCCTCCTGAACGTACAAAAAAAACTGTTTATACTTAAAGTTATGGCTGCTTTCAAAGCGGTGAAAACCAAAGTGGGTTGTGTAACATGTAAGGTTAAGTAGTGGAAGGAAACAAACACTGCCAAAACAGCCAGACATTTCTCATAGGCGATGTTTGCCCATGGTGTTCCTGCAGCATTTGTAAAGGAATTAAGGGAAGAAACTTAAAACCTTATTTGACTGGATGTGAACTCAGAGGGTACTCACAGTGAGTGCTGAGGCAGGAGGGAGTCTCTGCGGAGGAAGGACGGAGGGTCACGCATCCAAATCTGGGAACCAGTGTGACCACACCGCTGTACTGGCAGCACAGACTTGGCTTTTAGGGTTTCAGTTCTGCACAAGCAACAGTGGAGGTACGGATGGCTGTTAAAGACACAGTCTGTTGTTTTTACACTTAAAGGGATATTCTGGTGTAAATTTAAACACACTGTAACATCGAGTTAGACTCCTCCTGGAGAGATGAATGTTGTCGATCGCTTGCTTCTCTAGCCACTCTCTAGCCACAAATAATGCTCAGAACAGCACCTAACTTCATCAACAGGACATATAGGGTCCAAGTCATTGTACTAGCCACCAAACATCTTTTTAACTTTGACTCATTTCTTTAGCAAAGAGACTAAACACAACTCACTCACTCTCCTTCAGCAGCCGCTTGTTTGTGAGGGGAGCCCTGACAAGTTAATCACAGAGCGCAGCGGAGTTTCGCAGCTCAAGGAAGAACATTTATGATCACTACTTCATGGAAATACAATTGGACCGAGACGCAAAGGCAGAAGAACTACTATAACTTCAAGGAAATGATCCGTCGCACTTGATGATCGACTTGTCAGGGCTCCCCCACAAACAAGTGGCTGCTGGCGGAGAGTGGGTGAGTTGTGTTTGATCTCTTTGCCAAAGAAACCAGGCACATGTTTGGTGGCTAGTACTATGACTGGGACTCTATATGTCCTGTTGACTTTTAAGTTGCTGAGTAATCATAGAGTAGTGAAATGATAGTGATCTGTCAGATTCACCACACTGTGCAAACTTAAAGAGTTTTGAAACAGCGTCACATCCTCGGTGTCCTGATGCTTGTAAAGTCAATTTGTTGGCCACTAATTGGATCTCGTTGTATATTCTGTGTAGGTGGGTAAAAAAGCAAAACAAAACAGCATTTGAGTCCAAATTAGCGAAGATATTTGGGGGTTAATTCCATATTTTTATGCAACATGTGAACTCTGGTTTTCCTCAAGAACTTCAACACTACCAAGAAAACCACACACCACGCCATACAAGTTTTCTCTGGCAGGTTCGAGCTCAGAGATCTATCTTTAGGACATAGTTTCTCAAATAAAACACAACATGTACTTGAGCTAGTTCCCCTCAGATCTTTGAAACTCCACACTTTGGTTACTTTTGTTGATTTTAACGGAACATTTTTGGGCGCTCGGTGTGAAGTACGGTTCAATATTCCAGTACGGAAGAAAGCAAAGTGTAAACAGAAATGTGGGTGCCATGAAGTGATTCAGAGGCTATTTTGGGTCCATGAATGGAGGAGATAGGAAGTGAGAAGTAGTGAGAGGAATGGGATTGGTTTCGTTGGCACTTTAGAAAGCTTCATGGAACACTTGGGCAAGATGGAATATGTTCTGTTTGCAGGAATGAATTAGTGCAATTTACTAAAAATACAGCTCTCTTGGTGTTTTTGGCAGTCTGTAAGGAAACAAACCATTAGGAAATACTACCCCAGCTGACCTCTCGGAGACTCATAAGAGTGTTTGTATTAATATTTCCTCAAACGGAAAAGGTTGAAGGCGGATTTGCATCGGTTTTTCATGTGCCTCAAACTGAGTAATGAGCACGTTAAAAAGTCATTTTTCAAATAATCAGGAACTCCGGAGCAGGATGTTCTTCTTTTGACCTTTGAGCTCGAACAAGAAAATTGTTCAGCTTGGTTATTCATCAGTTGGCAGAGGAGCCGTCTTCTGCTTTAGTATTTCCTTTTGGGATAGATACGGTGCGGAAACACAAGACGGTGGAAGCATCAAAGTTATATTTTCCAAACTTGGATCTTAAGTAATAGTTCAAAGTCACAGTTGAGTTGTAAAGAAAGTAAATCACAGTCAAAAGTCAAAGTAGTTGATTTAAGCATAAGTCGCATTTACGATCAGACAAAAATACTGTGAAAGTTTAGGATTTTTAGGGTGTATAATCAAATTTCAGGTAGGGGGGACACCACTCCTTGGGCTGGGGCACCCCTGGATAAACCCTAAATCAGCCCCTGACAACCGCATCTCCACTTTTCCTCTTGTTTACAGTTTCTCTTTGCCTTTCTGACTCAAGTTCTGAATGTGGTGATCCATGCATGGATGTGCACCTTTCGCGAAGGATATCAGACTTTGGATGTCAACGGGTTTTGGTTTGTCCTTTCTGGTTCTCCAAGAGTGAGGTTGATCTGTGACGCTGAGACAGGTGGGGGAGTTGATGGAGTCAGGTTAGGCTGGTCAGAAAACGGATCAGGTGTGCTGATTTTGGGAAAGTTCAAGAGAAAGTAGAAGTATCTGGACAAGAAGTGAAGTGGGAAAAAGTCAATGCACCGACTGTGCAAACATACCCCACTGGCCGGTAAATGCGCTGTGTTCAGTTTGGCCTCTAAGTGAACTTCAACTCTCCAGAAACCTCATTTGATTCTGTCATTTTCCTCCCTTATCTTTCCTTTTCAATCAGATTTGGCAAAAAAGGCTCTGTTTTCAAAACTCTCACAGAAACACTGAAGCAGGAGAGGAGAGGACTGACCCCCTTAAAATAAACTCAGTCACATCGACTAAACCGCATCAGGAGGAGGGCGGCGTTGGGGAGGGGAACCGCTGAAGACGACCGTGTTTGGTCTGACTTATCAGCGCAGCGAGAGTTCAGGCAACAGGTCAGAGACATCTGCGAGAATAAGATTAGATGCTGCTAGTCAGCTGGCAGCCGAACGAGACGTACGAGCCAATGATTGTTAGGCATGAATGAAACGGCTAATATGCCTATCAGCTAATCCAAGCACGACCTCAGCTCTCTGCCAAACATGGAGGAGCTCCTCAAATTTTCGAGCTCCTCCAACAAACGCCAAAAAAGCCCTTATATTTATGTTTTGACATCGCTTCAGTTGGCTCGCAGATAATGTCGAGGCCTTGATATCACTCAAACTGACAGCGCACCGTGGTCATTCACTTCTGAGGGTCAAGGAGGGATTTTGATGATGAATCTGAACTCGATCCATACAAAGAGAAACACATGTGAGAGTCCGAGTCCAAGAGAGAGACAGTATAGCTCTCTGAACAAATCACCTCCATAAAATAATAAATAAAAAACATCAGGACGGCATCGCTTGACCCTCCCAGTCAAGGGTATTTGAGTTGGGACCAATAGTGTCAAAAACAAAACCTTGGAGTACCTGGATTCACCTGACCTCGTCTGCTCTTTAACCGAACCCGAGAGGCTCATCATCTCAACGGGAGCGGAGAGTTGCGTCATGTATCTGTCAGTCCAGTTGTAGATGTCTAAATAAGTTAAAACTGCAGAAGAAATAAAAACAGGATTTGATGGACCATCCGAAAGAATCAAGGTCTTTTTTTTCTGAGATCTTGGACGGACTTTGAAGTTTCGTGTTCGCCCCAAATGTTCAACAGAGCTTTTGGAAGTTAAAATAACCCACATCAAACTGACAGCAATCAAAGTGTGTTATTGAATTTGAGTGATCCAATAGATTAAGTTACAGGCTCGAGTTTTTCCAAGCCAATCGATTAACATGTTACAGTTTGAGCGAAGAGCCCGAGTCCTCTCCAAAGACTCTTAACGGTTTCAGTTTCTACCGTTTCACTTTGTTCTGAAGCTGTGGCGATGAAACATCAAATAAGGCACATCACTACCACATCAGTCCACTTTAGAAAATTAAAATAAGACTTCCAAGACTGATTCATCCGTACTGACGTCCGTGAGGAGCAAACTCATGAGCACATAGGCTGGAGCAAAGCTGCGCACATGTGTATGGACTACACTCCATTAGGTCAACGCTGCTATCGTCATTTGATAATGGAAGTTCCAGCCCAGAGTAAAGGCTTCCATCTGTGGTGACTAGAGAAAATATTATGATTAATTAATAACAAGATTGATTGAGCCAAATGTTCCCCAAGAGCTGTGCGCTTACATCCAACAAAGAGATCCCATGGTGCCTTTTCCAAGAAAGCACAGCAAACAGATGCAATTTGGGGGAAATCGCAGCAGCTCAGACAGCTGTCATGAGACACTGGTGGATGTTATTTCAAATATTTTCGAAACAACTTTCGAAGATTTGCTAGGTTCGCTCGCGAGTCCGTACGCCAAAAACGAAAAACACGTGAGGGTTAACTCTTTGGTTGCAGTTTCAGTTTTGTCATAAAGTTGGATGTTTTTTAAAACGAATGCAACTGATTTATTAATAAAAAAAATAAAATTACCTACAGGGAATTTCCCCGACGGTGGAAACATTCTGCAGGGAAAGTCAGATAATGACAGCGAGCCCACATAGCAGGGATAGAGCAGAAACCATCCCAAGCTGGACTCATGCCTTGCTTGGCTTGGCATGATGAAGAATTGGCTGCACAGAGAGAGAGAAAGAGAAAAAGAGAGTGTGTGTTTGTGTGTGTAAGTGTGTGAGTGTGTAAGTGTGTGTGTGTGTGTGTGTGTGCACTCCCAGCATCATTTGTATATAATGGGACATCTAGTTAAAATAAACCCAAATCTCAACTTATATATTTAGGGTGTGTTATTACTCAGTTAGCCGGACCCTGTGACTCTGGGGTGATGTGATGTAGTCGAAGGATAATATACAATGTAATGGAAAATGTAATGAATGAAATCTTATATTTGATGAGGTATCTCGATGTTTGGTTGTGTTATACAGAGTGTGTGTCATTTTAAAGGAGAAGTTTAGGTCTTCACACGTCTTTTTTCAACTGGAGAAACAACCTGTCTCATGAACATGGGAGGTAATCTGTTTATTCAGTTGCGATGGACAAATACTCAGACATTATGTGTGCAAAGAGGCATTTTTAAATAGCTCTAGGTTAAAGGTGGGGTAGGCAGGAATGTGTTAAAGAAGCATCTTTTTTGTGGTGTATGTACAAAAAGGCTTTTAATATCAGTCAGTAGCTTTTAGTTATTGCTAAAAGATGGGAGTATCACGATATGGCTGTGCTTTGTTATGTCTGTGTGTTCAACATTTTACATTTTTTGAGCGGTCCGCTCTTTCTGACTGTAAACAAAGTCGTTCTCCACCTCCCCCAATCTGATTGGTTGTGAGGCGAAATCCACGAATAACATTCACAAGCCCAAACAAAGTTAGCGTGCTACAATATCAGATGGTAGAAACCAACCAGAAAGTACGGAAAATTGTCTGAATCCTCCTTTGGCCACGACTGCCGACACAAGCAAAAAAACGAAGTAAATACTGGAGACTCTGGCGGCATGATAGGCGCTTGAAAAGGAGGTAGACCGGACAAGAGCTAAAAAGCCGGGTCAACATAAACGATGGGGGACGCTTGGGGATCTTGGTGACCCTGTAACTTTTCTGCTTGACAGGTAAACCGCTTTAACAAAGTAAGACAAGTGTCTGTAACAGAAGTGTTTCTTGTCAAACAGACCTGCTGTAGCGTGTTGTAGCGCCATCGCTAAACTGTCCTCCCTCGGGTCCTGGACTATGTCACTTTATCCTCATTGTAGAAGTCCTGCAAACATTGTGTTTGCTGGTAGTCTGTTGGCATCTACAGTAGCACCAATGCTTTTGACTTTCACCTTGACTGGGCCCCATTTGTAATGATCTGAAGTATTTATCTGCATTATATCTGAATTTAATTGGAACGATACGAGCGAGCAGGAGCGTCTGTGGGCGGGGCTTGTTGGAGCAAAGAGGGAGGGTAGTTTTCTCACCAAAACTTGCACTTCCTCAGATCCTGACTACCCCACCTTTAAGTCACTGGTAAATCTTTTCCACTTTGTGTTGTGTAGCTAAGTTTTATATATTTTGTAAGGCTTCCTATTTGATGCAACCTCCTCAAACTGAGCCCCACTCAGACCTCTATCTGACCTGATGTCCCCATGCAGTTTTCTGGCTGCACAGCAAAGTTTGGTGAAATAACCTGGAGGAAATCCACGAAGCGAAACACTGAAAATCAAACTGCAAATCCAATTACCGGTACAGATCACAGCATCTGAACCTTTCTTGTAATTTTCTGGTTGTTTGTTAAGTTGGAAATATATTATTTCAGATATCATTAAGTACAACTACAATAAATACAGGGTCGGCTTTCACGCAGCACCACATCTTTATAAAGTGGGTTTAACTTGGATACGATAAAGTGACTCTTGGGATCTGAAGGCCTTTGTGCATGTATTTGCTTTCATGGACTCTCTTAAGCCAACAGCTAAAGTAATCCTTTGATTTTGCATGATCATGGTTTGTGGCTAACTGGCCAGCACAGCGCTTGAATAAGCCGTATTGTATTTATATATCAGATACTTTCAAAGCAAACACTTGATACTCAAATTCCTTTCAAGACTCCTTTCAAATATACATGGCTCGCGAAGGAATTGGCTCACGACGCGAAACACAAGCTTATTTGAGTAAAGAGAAGTGCAGTCATTAGTGACAGCACTGAATATTAAACACTGAGGCTTTCCTGGAGTGCAGAAATGACTCATAATGTAGTCTGATGTAGAAATGACCGGCCACTCAAGACCTCCTTTCACACGCTCTACATCAGTTTTATCTTCGCCGACTGCAGATATTTCACAAGATGTTTTTCTTCTCTGCAACATAAGACTGATTGTACTAAACACATAAATTACAGATCTTTAAAGCCCGCAGCTTCAAAAGCCATAAACCTGTTTTAGTGCCAATGACATCAGGGGCCAGACATTTAATGTACTTCAGACACTCGCCAAGACGCTCAAACGCCACATAAACACAAACTCGTCTGAAGTACGTCTCGTAGAGCCGGCGCTGGCATGTTTTTCTGTCCATCATGCTCACTTGGATTAACTGGCGGTTAACTGGTGGTTTGCTTTTACTTAAACAACAAATTACTGTGTCCTTATATACCATATAGCCACCAGCCACTGTTCCAAGTACTAGCAAGCTTCTGTGAAGCTGCACTTAACCACTAATGTGTGTTGATGTAGAAGTTTTTATCTCTTTGGTTTTTCTATATGTTTTTCAAGGTCTAATCTGGCTGTTTTTGTATAATATATAGCACATGCTCCACTGCGGCCGAAGGCAGTTGGAAGACCTCTATTTGTTCCCCTTCCTGCACCGGTTTGTCCCATCCACTGCTTTCCATCCTAGATTTATTAAGTTGTAAACACAGGTCAAGTCATCTTTCCCGCACATCAAAGCCTCGTCTTTCTGCTGCCAAGTTGAACTTAGATGGCCCCTCCAAGTCTACAAAGACACCAGCTCCTCTCCTGAGAGAGGAAGTCGGGCTGGATTTGACTCTATTAATGTAGTCACATATATTGGCTTCCTTTCTTGGATAGTTTGACATTGCAGGTGGCTTGTGTTGCTGTGGGATGGGATTTCCATTTGTCAACTGCCCCAGAACAGGTCTTTCGGGACCTTCCAGACTCCTGCTTCTCATTCAAAAGTGCATTTTGTTGAAAAAAGGGGTTTAAAAAGCTCTGTGTGTGTTCGGTCTTTTTTTCTGGGGTAGTTCTGTAGCTTGTGTGTTGACTTTATTTTGTTGTCTGAGGCTGTATCTCAACCAAAGCAGAGCAATTTTCTCTTCTGTTTATGGTGGAAATGAAACAAAACCCTCAAAGATTGGCTCTTCTAGATACGGCGTTGGGTCTAAAAATCAGGAAACTGCCAAACGACAGGGTTGATTTAATTTCCTGCCATCACTGGGGATGGAGGGCAGATAAACCTCAATGCAGCTCGCAGCTGATTGAAACAACTTTATGCTGAGTTTTCATGACCTCCCGGGTCAGGCTTGGCTTGGCTTTCAACATGTTTTTCAACAACCTTTGCTTTATTTGTTACCAAATCAATCCTGGCGAAAAGAAACCCCCATGTTGCTGATCTGACCCACAATAACCCTCTTTTCTTCGTTTTTAACCACGTTGGGGTCACGGTTCTAGGAATTTGAATGTCGGTCTTTCCCTGATTTGAGTAAGAGTCAAACTGAGAATTGGCAGAGAGAGTTCCCAAGTGATGAAGACGGTTTTTAATCAGTGGACAAATTCTCTCGTATAACAGGCTTTGGTGAATACTCGATTCTGATCGGCTCAACTTTTGATGGATGTTTTGAAACTTTACAGGTGCCTCTAGTTAACAATCACTATCAAAGATGAACCTTTACTAGATCGTGATGGTTACGCCAAGTGTTACTCGAGCTCTCAGGTGTTGCTCCGGTGACGGCGTTGTTGCTGGTTGGGAACTTTGTATTTTGACTGCAAATGCATGAAAATATAAATAAACAGTCTGATTATTGACCAATTTATGGTAAGTGACCATTGTAGACATGGATTATACCCCCAAAGGTATCTCATTATTGCCTTAATGTCGTCCATTAATTCCTGATTGTCAGACACCGTGGAGGGCATCATCCTTTACATAATAACCTGCTTACTGTCCATCATCCATTTTTTATTTCTTCTTCATAATTATTATTCCTAACAAACATCCTTTTTTTTTATGATGATGGTAACTTTGGTTCGGGTCAAACTGATCTTTTGATTTAGTGCTGGTGGGAAAATATTTGTCCAGCGCATGCTGAGCTAAATTTGAGACCATTGTGACTATTTATCATCATCGTTATTATTTTCTGGATCTCCTAAAAGTAGTCGTGTAGTGGGTAGCAGGCACTATGTTTAACCCTTAAAGGGATAGTCCGGTGTAAATTTGAGTTATGGTCAAACACCTACTCTTCTTCAGCAGCCGCTTGTTTGTGGGGGGGGGAGTCGATCACTGAGTGCAGCGGAGTTTCGCAGCTCAAGGAAGAACATTTATGATTATTACTTCATGGAACGGCAATCAGACCGAGACGCTAAGGCAGAAGAACTACCGTGCCTGCAGTAGAAAATGATTATTATGCTGATTATTACTTCATTTAGGATGACCATATCCTAAATACCCAAAAAGAGGACATGACTACAAGGGGGCGGAGTCACGGAGTTGAACAAAGTTAATTTTGAGAGTTTTATGGGTCTGATCTAGTGTGCTTCTAACTTAGTAAGTCTATGTGACACGAACTCGAAACTTAAGTACAAAACTGCAGACAACTGAAGGATTTTATAAACTTCCAAACTTGGGACAGCCCCCCAGAAAGAAGGCATGTCCAGGTATAAGAGGACGTATGGTCACCTCATGGAAATGATCCGCTGGACTCGTCAGGGCTTCAGTGACTACCCTACATGTAAGCTTCCTCCCCAGTCATCTCCATACTGACCTATCAACCGTTGAGATGCTACGACGCCTTGCTGACGTCATGAAAGCTCATCTCAGCTCGACTCTTAGCGTGAGCCAAGTTACAGAGTGTCACGAAGCAGAGAAGGAGCAGAGTCAGGCTCTGCTGTTTCCACCATATATCACTGCAGCTCTGACTTGGTGGAACACCAAACCCCAGTCAAACAGCTACTCAGCATGACCTGCACACTTACTCTGCTGCAGATTTTTGTGGCCTGAAAGTATGTCTCCATGAGGGGAGGGGAGATGTGGAAAAATGACACAGAGACTGAAAGTGATTGTGAAGAAATTAGTCCAAGTGGTGCAGGTTTGATTTGTCGCTGTTTGTTTCATTGCCAAGTCTTCAAATGATTCAAACTATGGGACCAACTGTGCGTGCAAAGGTGTAAGAGGTTAGAGTGTAAAGTTAGTGGACTATCAGTGGTAGTGATATACAGTGAGAGTATAGAGATTATGATCTAGTAATAAAGCACTTCAGAAAGCTTCTTTTCATCTTCACGATGCTCCATCAGACCTGAAGCGCGGCCTGTACTCCTCATCCTTAATGGATTGAGATAATGGCCGGACAAATTGTTCCCAGGCACTGTCTTCGCTCTGTCTTGCTGAGTTCAGGGATCCGGGGAGTAAAATAATCCGATTTTTCCTTCCTTTATCTCCCAGACTCCAGCGAAGAAGAGAGGGGGCTTTGACATGCCATGTCTGCTTGTCACGACCCCTTTGTGCTCCCCCTGCCCATCCGTAGACCCGGCTTTAGACGCCATCCTTTTTCCAAGAGCTCACTGTCACGGCCTCAAATAAACCTGCTGGAAGTGCCAGCGCTGTTTTCCATTTTCCTGTCGTTCTTTTTTCCTCTTTCTTTTCTTTCCTTGTGTTTATCAGACTCTGGCCTCTCCCAAAATGAGGAGTCTCTCATGGTTAAGTGGTAGAGTTCATGCTGAGGTTCGTGGAAATTCACCAGGTCTCTTACAAACTGTTGTGGTGAGAAAAAGCTCGAGTCTGATCACCGGGATGTGAGCCACGCCAGGCTCCCCTGTGTCAGGAATGAGTATACAATGCGCAATAAGCACTTCTGCTGCGTGCTAAGTTGGTCCGGTCATGACATCCTTAAGCTGAGGGCTGTGCCAGCTCTCCTGTTACAAAGACAAATTGTGCATGCGGAATTTCCTGGAGAGGCTCCGAAAACGCTCTCCCACTTCTGCAGCCAGGCTCTCTGCAGGGACTTAGTACCGTAATTCAGTCCTTGCCCTTATCTCAGCAAAAGGGAAATCCTATCAAACACTGTCTAAGCCTCCTGATTAGCCACAGGTTTCCACCAGAAATATCCTGGGCTGATGTCGGGACAGTTTTAGGGAATGACAGTCACTGCGGGAACGATAAAGAGGGAGCCCCACCCTGGTAACCAGGAGTCAAAACAGAGTGAGAAAACCTGAGAAGAATTCTGGTTCTGGCCGTGATCCCTGTTTTAACAAGCAGCAGGTGAATCCTGTGTAATCGCTCCATGAGTGTGGGCGCTGCAGCTCTGTTTGTCGGGTGATGTTCCATCACAGCGGTGCGATGGAAATGTCTTAATACCGCACATTTAATTGGAACATGCCTCTGCTTATTATAAGATTGAATTTCTTGTATTACACTCACTCAAATTTGTTCTCCATGACAAACTTGTGAAAGCTCAAAGATGTTAAAAACACATGCGTGGGAAGAGAAGTCATTAATATGAAGCAGAAAAGCTGGATCGCCGTCATTCTCACCTTCGGGACATTCGTTTTCGTTTTCCCAGGACTCGCTTGTTAAGGGTTTGGAGGTCTTTAAATTTACTCCAGATTCCCATGATATTTTATGAATGCTATTGTTATTGAGTCCCATAGAGTTTGGGGGAATAATGTGATTGGGCGATCATTTTCACTGCTGTTTTGATGTTTGTTTTCATCTGTAAAGCCACCACAAGCAACAGACTCTCCCTCCTGCCTGAAAATTTCCTAACCCCCAATTTCCACCGCATCCAGAACAGCCGATCATAGCTGATCATAACCATTCAAGTTAATGTGTCAATTTCCACCGGCTTCTTTCCATTCTGCAACAGATCGCTGGACCTCGCAGCTGATCGCAAGAGTTCTATTTTTTCCGGACGCTGGCACAGACACAAAATAAAACATCCAGCTTCTTTTCAAAATAAAACACTCTGTGTTTCAGGCGGATCGTATTTCCCACCAAACGGGCGGGGACGAACAAGTGAAAGGTTTATGGACAGCATTTCATCCCAATGACACCATGGATAAGAGGATGCTGATTATATAAGTCTAGATTTAGATTTCCTTCTCTGGAAGGACACAATCTACTGCTTATATGGTTAGCCTACGTTCTTGCGATTCCTGCGTTCTGTAATCCGACAAGAAATTCGCCTCACAAACGGATCCAGAAGGAATTGCTGTACGGTGAGAATTGTCGCCGTTCTGGATCGGTGACGTTCCGGATGGGGTGTAAATCCCGGTTAAACATCATCCTGATTAGCTTGTGAAAGACGATATTATTTTCCTGTGCAGTGGCACATCTTGGACTAATCGGCATGGTATGTCTCCTAAACCAAAGCATGACTGTACGAGTTACGCTAGCTATCACTTAAGCAACACGTTAGCATCAGCAGGCAATTCTTTGTTTTATACACAAAATTTTTAACTATTGGCTATTATAGCATATTCGTGTTCATCTTAACTAAGTATAAAGTTTTCTGTGATTTTTCCCTGTTCGAAAGACGGGGAATGAAACAGACGCGTTTTTGTTCCAAGCAACCTGCTCCCCCCTACTGGCCAAAAATGAGTGGTGTAATGACCAAAAAAATCTCAGACCAAACCAAACAATCACTTATTTGAACATAACCATAGCAGAAAAATTTAAGTGTATTTTACTTTACAACATTTTAATATTTTTTAACTCTGCGATGACGATAAAAGAAGTAGAATCGATTTAGTATAACCCAACATTCTTTCACAACCAATAGAGCTGCCCCCTGCTGGCCAATAGTAAAAGTTCACACCTGAAACAACTTTACATTGGCCCAACTTCAAACCCCCAAAAATCCGTTAATGAGCACACTCTGTCCTCCATGCAAAATCCATGACTGGTCAAACAGTCGGATGAAGGGCCTCTCTCTCAAAGTCACTTTTCATTGATTCATTTTCCTCCTTCAGGCTCCTCTCATTAAAAACAACTCAATTTAACAAACCCTGAAATGATACCCCTAATAAAATACTTTTAGTGTCAATTATTTGGCCTTAAACATGATGTACAGAGCTCCTCAGCTGGAGCGGAGAAAAATACCCTGAAATTTGACAATCCACGGACAAATCCTGGCAAAGTTGCTCGGAAGGGTTTTCCAAGAGAAATTCAATGACATGCAACATGACGCATCACGCTTAATGCCTCACTGCTTGAACTGTGATCTATCCCTCTGGTCCCCAAAATGAGCTTACTCATATTGTAGAGCCGGTGAGTCAGGGGGGAATCAGAGGAAACGACCCGTGAATAAAGAACATCACGTCATCCCTGCAGCCTCAGCCCACCAATCTCACATTCCAGTCACAGAAATTACGTTTTTTTTTCTCTCTCCCCAAACTCACCAGATATGATTCATTTGGTCGGGATATTCCCCTTTAGTTTAGATCGTAGCTAAGTCGAATTCTGGCACAGTGAACAAGGTCCCGTCCTGTCAGTAAAAGACTAATCTGATAAATGTACATTTCATTTACAGGGCCTTATATAAGGTCTTAAACAAATGATTGTGATTTTGGGAGCTTAGCACAAGGCGTGTGCTGTTCACAGAGATTAATGTTCATTCTTCATCCAGTTCTGCATCACTCATCCCAATTGGCTACAGTCCCCTGATCAAACAGAGCAGCTCAGATGTTTTCAGGGCGTGATGGACTGGCCGCCTCTTCCACGTGGTGGTATGAGCGATATTTCCCCCATCTGATACTGCGGGTGGTCCTTATCTCACTGATTCGTAACTAAGACCCTTTTGTGACTTGAAATCTTTTGAGCGATGCTTTGTGCTGCCCCTCAGCTGACTTCTCCTGAAACTCGAACTTTCCTTTCCATTAACTTATGGCCCTGCGTAGCTTAACGGGAGTGTGATAATGACAGTCCTGAGGCTTTAGTTGTCACTGTGGCTGTCTGAGCTACGCTGGAAAAGTTCTCTCCACGCTCTCAGGCACTTTAACACATATTTAAGTATTTACTGAAGAAGGTATTCACTTTAAGCAGGCCCCAGACTCTCAAATCAGAGGGGAAAAATCACACCTAAACCCTTAAAACTAAATGAAAATGTGGTTTCGAGAGGGAGTGAGGGGAAAGTACTTGATCCAAAAGAACAAAATGTTAGGTTTCAGATTTCAGCTCGTCTCTCTTCATATTTCTGTTTTGGGAAAATCGACCGTGGGAGACGATTTTTTTGGTTATTAACAGAACACAGTGGACAACTGAATACATCAGTCTCCTTATCAGCGTGCAAAGATGAAACGCCTTTGGAGAGGGACCATATTGGTCATCACACAGGCAGCATGTTGGCTGTGATTTATCCAAAATAGTTATATCTGTTGTGCAAACCATAGACTGTATATACTGTGGACAACTTTGGCTTCGCCTTCCATCATTATACCAATTTGAAGCCGAATTGCTCTTGGTATTTCAGGTATTTTCTCCACTTCCTGGAACCACCACTTGCCCAGGAGCATTGTACGCATTCGGCGGGAGAGTCGCTGTGGTGACATTTGGCTCATATAGCATAACCCCCAGGTGAGCTACGCAATCTTCGTACACCCATAGGCTGTGTCAGGTGTCAATCACAGAAAACATGAACCCCTTAATGCTGCACAGAAAAAAAGGACTTGAGCACAAACCAGTCTTAGAATAACTACATGTCAACATCACAACCAGGGGGGAGAAACAATTATATTCTATGTAATTAATTTCTAAAGTTTGTCCACAGCTTCATAGGAATTGCTGGAGGAGGCGGGATTTATGATCTATACTGCAGCCAGTCACCAGAGGGTGCTGTTCTCTCTTGTCTCTGGCTTCACCCAGCGAGGAGGCAGATGATGTCCATTCTATATACAGTCTATGGTAAAAACACATATCAATAAGTGTTCACCTGATTGGCTGTACTGCAACTCCTTACTGGCAGACCTCCCTGCGTACACCGTCAAACCTCTACAGTCTGAAAGCTCTACTCTGTTCATATCAAGTCCAGTCTGAAGCTCGGGGTCTTCTCTCTGAGGGTCTTATTTTCTTTTCTAGGTTATAAAGATCCATCAGTATTAATTCCAGCCTGTTTTACATCCTGCTAAAATCCCCTAATGGTTTCATGACCTCACTGTTCAAATAAATGAGGAAGGACAGAAACTAACTGGAGGGACACAGAGGTGGAAGTTAATGATTAAATAATATTCACTGAGCTTGATCTAATGAGAGCCTCTAACATTTTAAAGATATTAGGTTGACTTGTTATTGCTCCACAGAGACCCTCCTTAGTTAGTTGAATCACCTCCGCACAGTGAGAAGTTTCTGTGTCTAATTTTTTCCAGTACACATACAAACTTGTAAAGAAGAATAGTGAACAGGAAGTCGCAGACTCTTTTCTTTTGTTTTTAAGGTTTATTTTCAAAGTTTGTTTGAATCAAAAGTAAATTTTAAGCACTGTGGCAAACCCAGGTAAGGAGGGATGAGAAAGGCCTCCAAAACTGAGAGGTTGTAAACATTGCCTGTGAATTGCATGTGGACATAGGCCCTTATAGTTTCCTACATGGTCAGTAAAACTAGGAAAGGGAAGAGTAGACTGACACATTTCTGCACAAACTCGACTTATAAACACAAACGACTGTTTTACTTGACTCTAACGATGTTCAGAGGTTTTATCTCACCAACTCCATGACAGAAACTTTTAATTACAGGAGACCTTTTATGACCATTTCCTCCTTTTCCATTATGTCAGCCTGAGACCCCCATAGAGCCACTTGCAGCCCTAATTTAGAGATGTAGCCTGTAATTTTGACATTGGTTTTTTACCTGACTCCCTTTGTCCTCCAGAGTCTAAACCATCTCAAAGTTCTCTCCACTCATTTGACACATCTCAGCTTTTCCTAAACAAATCTCCCCTCAAAGGTTTCTCTACAGTTTCAAATATTTTGCGAGGCATTGTCATTTTTTTCTAATCTCAGTTTTATCCCCTTTTTTTCCTAGTTTCCTTCTTTCCCTTCCCCACCTCCTTTTTCTTTCCCTTTCTTGGCAGCATCGCGCTGCAAACCCATCATCTCGCTCGGCTCTCGCCAATCATGACATGCAATTGGAAATGGATATCCAAACAAAGCACAACCTATCATCTTTACATCGTGGCTAATAAGAGTATTGGAGGGGTGTTTCCAATAACACAGAGCTGAGTGTGTTATTGGGAGTTCACGGGGAGGTCGAGAGACCGCATAGAGATGGGAGGCGATGAGCAGGGGAGGAGAACCAGGCAGAACCAGGGGAAGAGAGGAAAGGTTAGAGGAGGGTTGGACAGGAGGACAAATTTGGACTCATACTGTATCTTCCCAAGTGTGAGATAAGTCTGAAAGTGCTGGAGACAGCTGCAGGCAGCATCCTTAAAACCACAGCTAAACACCAGTGGAAGAAATGTCACTGACCGCTGTGTCGACGACTGCACTGCTGTTTCTGAGAACCTCCAGAGCAGCCGTGATCCTGACGGAGGAGGAATCCAGCTCACAGAGTCCGTGCTTATCATTAAAAAGGATAATCAGCTCACAGTGCGAGCAGAGGTTTCCTTCGGTGTTAATGATCTTTTCTTGTGTGCAAAGACTGACTGGTTGAGTGTAGATTAATCTCTGGTGTGTTGTCGCTTGTGCTGTGGTTTAGCAAAGCAGGACGAAAAGTTTAATGCAACTCAAACAGAGGCCTGCAGTCGAGAAGGAGGAACGTGCATCACTATGGGATGGACAAGAGCGCTACAGCCTATAGATACCTACATTTTCTGCATTGCCAATTAAACGCACAACACAACAGTCACTGCATAGGACAGCCAACCCCAAATTTCCACCGCATACAGAACAGCAGCGAAAAGGCCATCTGCGATCGGTAAACCCTGGCGAATGGCCCTGGTAGCCAATCGCCGTGATCTTCAGGTGGATTGTATTTCACACCATGCAAACGTGGTTTATTTCGTAGATAAAGATGAACATTGCTCTTACCCATGGATGATTCCCAATCTCTGATCTACTGGTCTGGACAGAGTGGAAGGACACAATTTACGGCCTAAATCGTTATGTGTTTGACTTTATAGAGACAACTGGCTATTGCGTGATTGCATGTGAATTGTTGGATTCCTGCTGTCCAAAACCCGCCACGAAATTCACCTCACAAATGCATTCGGTAGGAATTGGTGGATGGTGGAAATCACCGCCGTGTCGTAGCGGCAAAAATTTGGGGTAAAGCAACTAAAGATATAGTACCTGTATATTGGAGAAGTCTGGGTTTATCCACATGCTTACAACTAGACCTCAGATATGCGCTATAAAAACTTCTCTGAACAACTTAACGTCAAAAAAGTCAAGACAGAGCAGGAGGAAGTGTTTTATCCCACTACAGCGGACAGATGGACCATGAAGCCTGACATGAGGGGTTAACTTCCCTGATGACCACTAAAGGTGAGCTTCTATTCTTTCCATAACCATTTAGCGTCTTGAACCTGTTCCCTCTGTGGATCTTTGGCGTTATCAGACTTTTGCCGATTATCGCAGATGTGACGTCAACCGGATTACCCATGCACATGCAGTTGTTTCATCAGCCCGACTGACGGCATCTGTGGAGAAATGAAGCGACCATGTCTGTTCCATATAGCGGTCACAGCTCACCAAAGATGAACTCAAAGGGGAGCTTCTCTGAGGACGTCCACAGAGCACGGCGATCTACATGACTGACTCTGCATTCAGATTCTCTTTTGTTTGAATTCTGCTGGAGAAGCATCTCTATGGAAAAGTCATGCAAGAATGAGTCTGCTGTCCGTATGGAGAGCATGAATGATTTCACTGTGGCTGCACACAGATCAGGAGGATTTCTCAGACTCAGCACTGTCTGTGCCTCTGATGGTTCACTTTTTATCTACAGATTTATGAGGAATAAAAGTTAAACATGGCCCAGTTCAGTTCAGTCCACCTGCGGAGCAGCTGAACCTGAAGGTCTGTTACCTTCCAGACCCACGTGTTATAAAAATATTCGATTTCCACATGATTCCAAGTCTGCAAGTTACACTGGGTACATTTTCATTTAAGAGATGAATGATGCCGACCGCTTGCTTCTCCAGTTATACCAACTTCAGTAATGACCGCACGACAGCAATACAGAGAGCAACACGCTTAACCAAAACGCCGCTCTATAGCCACAAATAATGCTCAGAACAGCACCTAACTTCATCAACAGGACATATAGAGTCACAGCCATAGTACTAGACACCAAACATCTTTTTAGCTTTGCCTGATTTCTTTAGCAAAGAGACTAAACACAACTCACCTACTCTCTTCCAGCAGCCGCTTGTTTGTACGGAGACCTCCGGGCGAGTCCATCGACTTCAGCGGGGTGACGCAGTTAAAGGAAGAACATTTATGATTATTACTTCATGGAAATGCAATCAGACCGAGACGCTCAGACAGAAGAACTACCGCGTCTGCAGTAAAAAAATAATTGATATGGTGATTATTACTTCAAGGAAATGATAAAGTAATGATCATAAATGTTCTTCCTTTAGCTGCGTCACCCCGCTGTTGTGTAATGGACTGGTCTGAGGTTGGCCACAAACAAGCGGCTGCTGGAAGAGATTAGGTGAGTTGTGTTTGGTCTCTTTGCTAAAGAAATTAGCCAAGGTTAAAAAGATGTTTGGTGGCTAGTACTATGACTAGGACCCTATATGTCCTGTTGATGAAGTTAGGTGCTGTTCTGAGCATTATTTGTGACTATAGAGTGGCGTTTTGGTTGAGGTTTGTGCGTGGAGATGTAGACCGCTGTGTATTGCTATCCTGCGGTCGTTACTAAAGTTGGTATAACTAGAGAAGCAAGCGGTCGGCAACATTTATCTCTCGAGGGGGTGTCTAACTCGTTGTTACAGTGTGATTGACCTGCCGGAATACCCCTTTAACTGCTGTCCTTGTTCCAGTTTACATACACCGAGCAAGAATCAAACTATAGACAGAAGCATGTCCACCTGATTGGGTCAGTTTCAGCTCCATTGAGGTGAATGCACATAAGAGAAAATAGATCTACAGCTGCGATGTTTAAATGCATTTTAAAAGTCCAGATTTAGTCAGACTTTCTCAATAAATCACAGACAGACTGCGAGTGATGCCACTGAAAAATGCTAAATTAACTTCAAACTTTCTTGCCAAATCTTCACAAAAAGAGCATGAGAGGTTCAGTACAAGGACAAAAAATCATCTAGAGTTTACACTGTTAGTACTGCAGATGAATGACTCGCAAACTTTAGTTGTTCTGCTGTTATTTGGTCATGACCACATGCTTTTTTGCCGCCGCGGGACACTACGCCCGCTCAGATAACCACGCCATCAGTCTAAGTGCAGAGAAAAAAGACAAAAAGAGAGAAACTGAGACTTTTTGTTTGGTTTTAACCCTCTGCTGATGCTTCCTCAGACGTGACACATTACATCAGAGTGGATTAAGTTACCGGTGTCTTCATACTGAGAGACAGATCCTCTCCGTCTGTTTCTGCCCGTTTGTCTGAGAGTGCGCCGCCCCTATGGCTGTCTCCCTACTCATGCAGGTAGCCCTGAGGAGGAGAGAATGGAGCTCTTTGACGGGACTGAGGAGGGGGAGGCAGGCTGGGGGGTTACACTGCAAACCACCATCTCCACTCCCTGTGCCTGGGCTCATTCTATAATGAAATGGCCTGTGTCATGGAGGCCTTGTCCAAACAATGGGCCTATTCAACCTGGAGAGGAGTCTCTGTCAGGAGCGGGCCGAACACGATACCTCTGATTCAGGCCCTGCAGTCCCTCTTTCTTTCGATCTCGCCATTTTCTACTGCGTCCTCTGTCACTGTTACAACCCTCCACCTTTTACATCCATCTCTTTACTACCATGCTGATGACTCTCTCTCTTTTTTTGTTTCTCTATAAGATGTCAGACCCGTGGAGGAATATCAAAGCCAGAAACACTTAAGAGTCGAACCCTACGGTCTTCTTCTGAATGTTTTTTAATGTCTGACTGAACATCTTTCACGTTTCCACTGAAGCCAGTCGGTTTCATGAATTACTCTCCAGATTATATTTCATGTTATCAAGAGTTTGTCCTATTTGTTATGATCTTATATAAAGTGTCTCTAGCTGGTTTAAACTGCTCACCTCAGATTAAATTCACTCCTTTTGAAGATTTTTAACGCCCAACAAATTATAAAAAATACAACTCTATTTCAGCAAATGGATTTTGAAGAATATGATTCACATGATTTAACTGTCTGAGTGTTTATCTCACTGATAGTAAGAAAAACAATTGATCATACCCATTTTTAGTCATTTATTATGCCAGTCTGGGAACACTGTGGAGTAGCTTTGCATGATTTGCAGCTCAAAATACTCCTTATTTACATGAAAACCCTCATTTCAACCCCTGCTTTTAGTTTCAGCTGATGTTCAAGTAATCTAAAATAAGATACAGCTCGCGGGTGTTACTTTTCACACAGCTTTGCGCTCACAAAAGTTATGCCTTTGCAGAAAAGAAGTCTTGGGCCAGCCGCCTTATTTGCCATAATAAATGTATTGTTTTTTCATCCATGTATGCAAGCTAGCTTAGTTGTTTTATGCCATCATCTACATGTAGCCTTATTAGGTAAGCGGGGATTTAACAGTTTCATCAATATCTCTATACAGCGAGGACCTGTGATGGTCTACAAACTAGGCCTTTTGATCAAAAAGTATAGTTCTGTTTAAGTTGTAGTGGAGCAGAGCAAAGGGGTGAGGGATCTACTAAGACGGTCCTCCCCTAAATGCTCTGACACCAGCGTTAGAGCGAAGGAGAACAGAAAGACAGTTTTAAAGCTGTGACTGCTTCAGCAGCTTTTAATCTGACGTCTTAAGGCACTTTATGATTTTCTTGTGTTGTGAAATAAAAGAGGGGAAAAGGTGATGGACAAACAAAATACAGAATGTAGAAACTATTCCAACCTAGTTATTTGTTGTGAACTTGGCAGATAGCTAACAGATGATCTTCAATAAACAGGTGAGTCAACAGTTGAGTTTTCAGTCTGTTTTCTGTTGATGAACTGAAACATGAAAATAAACTGTAAAATTTTACATGTTGTTTGACTCGTTTTTTTCCAACACAAACAATAGTCTTATACAACACAAATCCACACGAAGAAGTTTAATTTTTAATTAACTTAACACCAATGAATCGCCGATTAGCTTAATGCTAAAGTTACATTAGAAATGCCATTGACAGGCTAGCACATTAGCATCACTTTGTTTTTAAAGTGTTCCCACATGAATTATGAACTGTTTTTGACATTTTAACAACTTCCCGTACTTTCTGGTTGGTTTCTACTGTCCGATATTGTAGCGCGCTAACTTTGTTTGAGCTCGTGAACGACATGGGGGAGCAGCGTCCGCCTCACGACAAATCAGGTTGGGGGAGGTTTACAGTCAGAAAGACTACACAGACTTAACAGAACACAGAGATATCGTGATATTCCCAAATGTCATTAATAACTAATAGCTATTGACTGATATTAAAAGCTTTCTCGTATATACACGATAAAAAAAAGATGCTTCTAACGGATTCCTGCCTACCTCACCTTTAATTAAACCAGAAACCACCTGATAAGTAGATAAATAGTTTTTCTGTGCTCGTTAATGAAAGATGCAGAAAGTTTGTAGACATCCCCACCATTGTTGTACTTCTTCAAACACTATTACTGTCCTATTTTTTAATGAGACTTTAATATAGTAACATCCCTGTTAGTGAGACATTCAGTCTTTCCGTCTTCGTCATACTCGTGTTTTAAATGTACATTTAGAGGTTAAAAAGATCAACATCAAACTTTCCTCATTAGCTGTGGTTCAGATTTCACCTCACTTCACACATACTGCACAGCTGGAACGGTTACATTTAACGCCCTGTTTGTCCTTGATAGATTCAGATGTAGTCATGGCTACATGTGTTTTAGATGAGTAATTTTGCATAGCATGAGTCTAAACATTGATATATAACAGCCTGAGTCTCTGCACGTACGGCTGTTCAGTGTTTACATGATCCTGAAAACATTGCTCCCTCATGTAGACTGTTGTCCAAAAACTTATGAATGTTCTGTTGTTTTATAATCATGACTTATCATGTTAGATGATGCATACTGGTTATAAAGTGGTCATATGAGGACTAATAATTTTTAGATATGAAGAAAGATCAGAAAAAAAAGGTCTTTCGTCTGTGCCAGAACAAATGTTCCTGTTTGGTGGAAACTGGTCTGGGATTAAACGAGGACACCAACCTTGGAGACCAAACATCTGCTACAAAATTGATAAAGATGTTTAAGAAAATGTATATGTGGAACGTTATGTGCACACCCACAGAGTGCTCATGAGGTCCGATCAGGCCGCCTAAGTGGAGCATGTATGTTTACGCACTGGGTGTGCAGCTCCTTTTAATGCAATCCACTGAAAAACACAAGTGGATGATTTTAGGGAGGCTTATGCAAACATTTACATATGTACTTTTTAATCTGTGGGGAGAGCGTCTGTTTGTTTTAAAGATGAATGTAAACCTGTGAGTCCTTAGGAAATGTAAGTAGCATCTGCGAAGGATCACGGCCACTTCAGCTGCTGCTGAGACTGTCATCGACTGCCATTCAGCAGCGCTCACAGGGGACTGTGCAGCTGGAGTCTGGTGGAGATGTATGGAAGAGGTAGTGCTTTCTAAATGGATGTATGTGTGTTAAAACAGAGCGAAAATCAGCTTATGTTATTGTACGTGTAGCCAAACAGGTGAGACCCATAAGGTTTCTAAGCTGCACAAATCCCAGCTCTTCGTTATGCCGCTTTAGGTTTAGAGTCATGAATTCAGTCTTTTCTGGGAGTCCCTGAGCTCCATCATGCCGTGGGTACCTTCTCTCTAAACCAGCTCAGTCTCAGCAGATGACCCTCTAACATCAGTCTGGTTCTGCTCGAGGTTTCTGCCTGTTAAAGGAAGTTCTTTCTCGTCACTGTAACTTGATAAATAAAATAAAAGCAAAATAGGGATTCACCAATGCTTTTCCTTTACTTCGGATACCAATACAGATATACAGTTTAGTATTGGCTGATACCGATACAGAAAGGCTGGGCTGAATTACGTTTTGTAGTAACTTGAAGTTTTACCACCGCCCCTCAGAACGTTTACTGCGCAGGTATTGCAAGCGGCCGTCGAGCATGTAGGCTGAGGTAGAGTGAGAAAGTTCAAGATAGCAGACCCCTTTGCTCGCTCCATTTTGGTCTTTTACGGCACATATCATAGAGTTAGACTGAATAGATCAGCCCCAATGCATCGGGCCCATTGTCACAATACCAGATCTAGAATTTTCTCTGGTATTGGAACCGATACCAATATCATGTATCGGATCAATGCCTCCCTACTGCAAAGTGTTTCACTCATGTGGTTGAAGACGGGATTGGAGTGGGTCTGATCTGACACTATGGGACTCAATCTGATCCCATCATTACATTAAGTCTTTTATGGCCTAGACCAGCAGCACTTGTTGTGAACTGGTGCTCTAAATATCAATTGATCCTTCATTTCTATGAGAATGTATTTCTTCTATCAATATGGCTCCAGTATAATCTGAGTTTGTGAGAGCTCGGACTGTCAGCCAGAAAAGACTTCACAGACTGATTGTAAGTTATGTTGTTGAGGAAATGCCTCCCATATCAGCTGTTGAGTCTGCTGCTTCCAGAGAAGTGATTATCGAATTACCGTCTCGTCGTTATTCCCAGAGCATTTACGACTAAAGCTTTCGCCACAAATACTTATTGTCATCTTTGTCAGATTTAACACTTCCTAAAAGGTCCAAGAGAGATCTTGTGAGATTTCAGAGTCAGCAGTGGTTAAATTCACGACTTCTAGGTGAAAACTTGGCTAGCACAGTTTCTCAAAAAGGTAGCGTGGAGATTTGTTTCCTTTCTCAAACACTGAGCTTGAACCTCTGATGAGGAAAACAGACGCCTGACCGGGATCAGCTGGAGGATCTGTTTTCTGCATTTAGTCCTTTAGATTCGAGCAGAATATATGAATATGAGTTTTAGCTGAAAAAATGTGCATGGATTTAAGTCTCTCTCTCTCTCTCTCTCTGTTAGTGTGAGCATGTCCAAGACAGAGGAAGAGAGAGAGAGAGAGAAAGAGGGAGAGAGAGAGCGGTGGAGCCAAGGGAGAGATAATGGGCGCCTTTGCCAAATGGGGCTGCATTCAAAAAGCCCTCAATTACACAGTCAGGCTGCTGGAGACACTCTGGCTATTTGTTTGGAGAGTTTTATCAGCATGTCAGACGGCCATGAAATGGACTCCTAATTAAATGGCAGTGCTTGGCTGTTGCCGCTCAACACTTCTTTAAACAGTCGGAGGATAAACCGCCATAAAGTCCCGGAGAGATGGGCGAGGAAGCTGTGAATTTGTGACCGGATTGACGAATTATATATAAGTTTTTTTTACCTTTAAAGTTTGCAGTTAGAGTCGTGCAATCCTGTCGAACTGCTCTTTTTTACAGTGTCGCACAGAAAAGACCGCCTTGTATTGCTTGAATAAAATTAGCTTGAGGTAAATCACTAAAACCACCTCCTAATCCCCAAGTCAAGGATCCCATTGTATACGCGCTGCAGTTGGTGTAACGTAAAACCTGCATCGCCATGAACACGATAAAGCCGTTCAACTGGGTTAAACATATAGCGCTGAGATACGGCGAGCTGGAACGGTGCAATCTGATCCCAAATTGTGCGGAGAAAGGTCAACTGTGCACCTGTCATTATGGAGAAGGGCGGTGGCGGCGGCGGAGGTGGGAGTATGACCTACGCGACTGCATCCCCCTCATCTCTCAACAGATATTATCTCACATGACAAACCGAGGTAACTGGGCTTGACCAAAAATAATGGACGGGCTGAGAGTACACAGCACCCTGCCTGTTCCCGGGAGTCGTAGCAGTGAGCAGTGATAGCTTTAAAACACATTAACAGTGAGTCCGGTCATGTGGGACCGCTTACAGGAAAGTTACACTCCCCTCACTGTCATACACAATCCGTCTCTGGTGTCTCTTCCAGGAACTGTTTTGGACTGCAGTTGCACTTTCGTGTCCGTGTTGTGTCAGACGATGAGGCTGGATTCAGGTATTAAGAAGCATTTCCTAGAAGTGTTTCCACAAACCATGAAGGAACTCGAATACGTCCAAGACAAACACGTTCGCAAGTCCACGAGTTCACGAATGACAGCAGAGATAAACCTTGTGACATTCCTGGACAGACGTTGCATCTTGCAAAAGTGAATCAGAGCTTTTTGTTTTTATTTCTAACTTTGCAATGCTTCCTGATTTCTCTGTCGACCTTTTTTTTGTTGTAGTTACACCAAAACATGTCACGCCACCAGTTATCGCTCAGGGGAGGTAAAGACAAATTGACAGCAGTGCAACACCTCATTACACTTGTCATTTAAATTACAGACACAGAGTAAGACATGATGAAGGATTACGTTCCTACCAGCCATATGAAGGGGTGTTAGATGACACTTATCTTCATTTTCCTACATGTAAGGATACTGTTTGGATGTGCCTCTTGATTTACAACGTCTGGTTTATGTCATAAAAAGAAATGTGGATTCAGGAGGAACGACTTAAAACACAATTTGAACGATGTTGGTGGATGCAAAGACAAAGTTTGAAGACTAAATCAATCTTTTTAATGTTAAAGACAAAGAAATGATTTCCACTAGACAATTCTCAACTTTGTTATGTCCCGCTTGCAAAGTTAGCATGCTTGACCCTTCAGCACAAATATCAGTTTAACCTTGAACCAAACACATCTCTTTATGAAGGAAGTCTAAACTGACCACCATTAAAACCATGTCTTTAAATTCACAGTATGAGCTTCATCGATCATAGACTGCATAAATAGATGTTTGACTGTCGGCTGCTGATTCAGACTTTTTTCTGGCAGCTTCCTGACTGCTGATACTTAATCGTTTATTCCTCAAACTCAATCTGTTTTTAGGGAAAATCGTTTTTTTAAGTTCTTCATGAAATTGATGCTGAATCAGGTTGTGAGCCTCCCATCAGCGGCTGTGTGTCCTGTGGTGAAAGCTGCAGGTGCGCTGAGGTTAAGTAACGCTGCAGCTGAAAAAACACGGGAATACAAATGGACCTACAGCTGACTATTGTCTCATGGTTTACCTTCCTGTCAAGAAATGTTAGCTCACTGGTGCATATAGCAGTATTGATCTTCATATATTGGTGATCTTTGTTGCACTGCACCTTTACCACATACAAGCATGCTAATGAGCTTTATGCAAGAGCAGACCAGCAGAAACTGACAGCTGTGGCTAAAATAATTAAAGAACAAGAAAATATTGAAAGACTTTGACCAGAAAGACAGCAGTGATGGAAATAGTTAAAATAAATGAAATGAAATCAATGCAGTAAAAGAAAACAAAAGTGTGGGAAAGAAGTCATAAAAGTGCTTATAAACTTGTAAATATGAGCAATTAATTTTTATTATTTTCTTGTTAAAACCTCTCTGCACAGTTTAGAGGTTTTCTAGCACCGAAAATTTTGTTTTTATCTTCATGAAGTTTAAAAATTTCTTGCTTGAACATTGATTGATGTCTAAAATGAGGCACTGAGAGGTTACAGGACGTTTTAGTGAGACACTTGAGTGTCGTCTGCATAAAAAAGTAACTGACTGATTGGAGATAATGTGGTGAAGTACAATGAGAATAAAAGAGGGCCTAGAATACTTCCTTGAGGAACTCCACAGTTAGAGCAGGGTTCCTACGCAAGTATAGAAAGTATGGAAATAAATTTGATAGATTTCCAGGTCTTAAAAAGTATGCAAAATGAAAGATAAAATATGGAAATGCTATTTTCTTAAACAGAAAAATAATTATTTCCAAAAATAATTCTAAAAGTTAGGGTATGAAAAAGTATGGAAACCCCAGCTGTGTAGGAACACATGGATCTCTGACACAAAAGCACCCGGACTGTTAAGAAGACCTGATCCAGGATCAAATTTGCGAACTGTTCCTTTAAAAAGATTCAAACTTAAACAACCTCGTGAATAAACTGAAAGTTTGAAGAAAAACTATCAGACTGGAAAAGTGTTGCATCGACCAACACAGTTTATTCTACAGACTTCACACCAGCTGCGTTTTCTCTGCAGGTGTGTATTCAATGTGCTCATCATTTAAGTCCTTGTCAATACAAACTTGAATGCAAAGAAAATACGCCCTTATAGAAAATGTCAAGTTGAGTGTCACAGATTTATTATGATTCCCTACCCTAACAAACCCTCTGACCCCTGCTTTATTCCACAGATCTGCTGATGAAACTCAATAAGGGTTTTATTTTGAAAGTCTGTGAGCGGTCTTCACTGAGTCACCCATGCATGTGAGCGCACACACACACATAAACACACACAGTCACGGATGCACACCGACTTGGAACAGACGTGCACACACTCAGATTCAAACAAGAGAGCTTAGGGAAGATTTGTGATCTTGTAAAAACACATTGAGAGACGAATGGCTCGGACTAGTCGCACTTGTCAAACAGCACCTGCAGCGTGAGGCTTTTATGTTAGCAGAGAGAGAGACAGAGAGAGAGAGAGAGAGAGAGAAAGAAAAGAGAGAGCGAGAGAGTGAGTGAGAGAGAGAGAGAGAGAGAGAGAGAGAGAGAGAGAGAGAGAGAGAGAGAGAGAGAGAGTGAGTGTCAGTATTACAGGCATTAACAAGCAAAGAGGGCCGAGTATTACGTGCAGCTCTCAGGCAGAGCTTTAACACGTCAAAACATTTGAAGTAGAAGTTCAAACTTAAGTTTTATTTTGAAAAACATTTGTTAGAACTGATCACTGTTTTGTGTCATGAGCTTTGAAAGCACAAACCAGATTTAGAAGCCATTTTTGATGTTTACTAATACCTGTGTTCATACTAATAATGTTAGGAGCTGTCATGATTACATGTTTTCACTTTTTTATATTAAGGCAAGAGAATCAAACTTAAAGGATAAGACACTATCAGTTAACTGAGAAAAGGCGGGACAATTTACTCACTTATTTCCATTCCAACGTGACCTTTTAGCTCATTTTTAAGAGGAGTTATGCTTTTATTTTGACATTTTTGACTATCTCAGTTAAGGCGTTTTGTGAGATGCAAAAGCATGCTTTTACTTTGAAAAACCTTTGGTTAAAACTGATCACTTTTTTTGTCTCATGAGCTTTTAAAGCCCAAACCAGATTTAGAAGCCATTTTTGATGTTTAATAATAATAATAATGTTTATACTCATAATGTTGGAAGCCGTCATGATAACATGTTTTCACTTCTTATATATCGTAGCCAGAGAAATAAACTTAGGGGATAAGAAAGGCAAGACAATTAACTTTTTTTCACTTCTAATGATCAATGTGACATTTTAGCTCTGTTACAAAAACTTTTTCAGAAGAGTTGTGCTTTTTATTTGACATTTTTAACTATCTCAGTTTATGCTTTTATTTTGAAATGACATTTCTTGAGGTTGAAATGGACTTCCACAACAGCTAAGAGGACACTGTAGATTAAAAATGACCTAAAATCACACATTTTATAACAACTTTTAGTGTTTTTTTAGTGACTTTAGGATGAAACTACTCTAAACGTCACTCTTCATTCAGATTTCTGTCTTTCCAGCCGATTATATAAAAACTCCTCTGTTATATTGGTGTCGTTTTATTGCTCTATTTTCCGACCAGATCCCGTTAAGCCGGTTTGGCACTCTTAAAATCCAGCGTGTCCCCAGGTGAGGGAGAATACACCAGCTTTAAGCCGCTGTTGGGACAGACGCCAGGAAAACATCCATCTTTATATAGGAGGCCTGACTGCTGCCTCTTGGCATCCGTGCCGACTCCATGACTGACAGCTCTAACAATATGGATTCAGCCAAGTCACCGCCTAAGGCATGCTGTAACTAAAGCCGTGTCGTGATTCGCGCCATACACCGCTTACATGAACTCTTCCTCGTCCTTTTCTAGCAGACTCACACCAACATGTCCATGTCAAGACATAATCTCTCTTTCCTCTGCTGGTCAAAGTCCAGATTTGTGGAGATGCTTTGACTGTTTTTGGCGGTGCTGAATCTGAGAGTCCTTATGCACTGTTAACTTTCCAAAGACCTAAAACCACATCCTTAAGAAAAGGCTATTTCCATAAAAACATACATTCAATACATCATAGTACTAATTTCCAAAGCAGAGAGTGCGATAAATCTTGATGTTTAGGATATACGATGACTGTGAAGATCCCCTGAGTCTAAACTCTTCACACCTACAGGAGAAGTTATTATTATTGGGTTTGTACAGTTGCTGCAACGCTAAACACAGAGTAACAGCCAAAGAATGCAAATTAGCAACGGTTGTTGATACTTAGCTCCGAAAGCATTCATCATCCATCCAACAAGCATCCAACCCTTTCAAGGATCAGACCTGTGAAGCTTACAGGCCCCGAGGCTGCAGCTGTCATACCTGAGTACACTCTGTCATTACCTAACATCAATTTGACATAGCAATGTGTCTGCAGATGGAATTTGAGTCGTCATAATTTTTCTGCCCTCTTTAAACAGATGACATGCAGACTGAGGCTGGAGATCGGAGAGCTTGTTACATTATGAGAAATACTGCGCTCACGTAAAAGATCGGGGGTTTGTAATTTGATTTAAATACTTTTATTTTCTGGGATGTTTCCATATCTCTCTGCAGGAGGTAACCACAGACTTTACTGGAGGTGAAAGGATAAAATGGATCAGGGGTCAGTTTTGCCCTTTTCTCAAGAATCTGCAGGGAGAGTCGGCACACAAGCTAGGCTACAGTTTTCAGCAATCAGGGCTGAGTCACCGCGAATTAGCTGTGCCATCTTCTGTTAGCTAATACAGCCCAGTACATTGTGGTCTGTCACTTAGTGCGTTTAAATGCACAGCTAAATCAGACTAAGCTCATAATTCGTTTTTTACCCAATCAGACTTCTCTCCTTGTCTGCGTAATCTGAGAAAATTAGATTATTGATGTGAACCTGCCCTCCTCCCAAAAACTAGGGGGCGATATGGGTCTTTTCAGCAGCGCTGTTTCTGACCCCATACAACCGTCAACAACAACAGCAGGTCTGTGTCAGACGTCAGAAGTGTCTACAACTGCTGCTGGGCATTTTCAAGCAAGAAGATGGAGCATCGTACAGCGTTGTTTTTGTCGTACATGATGAACGCGCTACTTTTTCTGCAGATGACATGCACGCTACTCCTCTTCTCTGGTGTTTTTGTTCCTGAGTTATGGGGTAGTCCGACTATGCTGGTTACATGGTAGAGAAAATCGAATTCCAATCGCATTATCTGGGTGTCTTAATCGGAGTTCTCCAACTCCAATCAGAGTTCTCAAACTCCAATTATAGTCAGACTAAAGTGTTTACACGCACTTCAGTTGTCCGGTCTTAATAAAGAAGAAGTAATCTTAATCGGAATCAGAATCCAGCACGGCAGTTACGTACAAAAATATCCTTTTTTCTGTAGTTTCTTGGTGTCATTTTACTGTGCTGGTTTCTCCTTTCTTTGAGTTGTTGGATCACCTCTGTTTCGTTTCTTCAAATAGGAGGAGCGTGAGCTGGACATGTAGCCTGAACACTGCAGCTTGACGTCCAAAAACAATCAGTCTCATTCATAGACCAAAAGTAGATCCTCGAACCTGTAGATTAGGGTGAGCAAATGTCCTGTTTTCACACCCCAGTTGTTTATCGTGAAGTGATGAAAATGTCCTGGTTTTTACTGTTTTTTATTAGGCCACTAGAATAAAGAAGAAAACTAAATATATGGAGTATCTAATTGTCGGGCCAAGTCCTGGTTTTTGTCCTGTTTTTGTTCATCAAAATTTGCTCTCCCTAGTGTAAATTGTCACATAAAAGTCCACGATAGTAGAAATCTCCATTGGATTAATGACATTAAATCATAGGCACATGTTTATATTTATATTTAAATGAATGAATCACTGATTACAACCAATTAGAAGGTGTGATTACAGTTAGAGATTGAAATCACAGCATGTTTCGGTGAATGGCGTACAGGCTAGTCAACTTTCTAATCCGTGCCTCAGATCCTGTCTTTAAGCTGGACTTACTAATCGTGTTTCCTTTCCGTAACCCGTGTTTTCAATATCAGTTACAGGAAAATTTCATACGCACAAGTCCACAGGTGTCATGTGAGGGCTTGTAAACCTCTCTTCGACAGCCCGGCGGTGTCATGTCTGGTCGAGACCGGTTACCACGGTTTTAACGTTTCTTTGAGGGATGTGTTTTTTGACTGTGTCAGACGAATTCATGTCTTGCCTCCAGGTGCACCTCCTGCACTACATTCCCTGAAACGCACTGTAAGACAGACCAAACAATGACTGACATGTCTCCACTGTTCAACTGCTTTCAGCTGAGAGTGACACCATTGGCGGTTATTAATAGAAATACCTGTGGTTGATGACTGATGTCCAACCCTCCCACACTTATTCTTCTCTGTCATGCACTACCTCTCCTGTCTGCCGGGGGCGAATAACTGCTGAGGAGACATCGAGGAAACACTCATAAACACTGAGGTTGCTCTCCCCACCTTCGCGCTATTAATTGTCGATACTGTTGTGCAAAACACGACACTGTAACAGCGTAATAATGCCTGGAGTGCAGATGTTGAAGCGACTTATTGACGTGGTTGTTAAAAAACAAAACCCCACCGTGACAAGTCAGGAGATTCAAGGTTTGGATAATAATGTCTGTTTTTAGAAATGCTCATTTTCCACAGGGTCCATCATTTCTGTCTATTTAACTTTGAAATGAAGCAAAACAAGAAGTTATTAATTTGACTCTCACCGCTTTTTGACTTGGAGTTACTTCAGTTGTTCACAAACAGGCCTACCAAGAAACTTCAGTCCTCATCTTTTAAGTCAGCGTGTTAGAGTTCATCCACAAGTGCTTGAAAAGTGGGTAGACCTGCAAGTAGTTCTTGAAGTTTCCAAAAGTAATAAGGGAGGCAGGGGTCTAGTTGTGGGATCCTTCTCCTTTGGGATGGTCCATATTCAGCGATGTTTGGAATGGCAAGTTTTCCCGTAAACTGGCAGTTAAGTGCTGCTAGTCTAGGAAATTTGTGGAGACATGCTGGTCGTCAATCTGTTTTTTTATACAGTGTAACAAGTCATGGTTGCCAGGTCGTTCTCCTTTGGAGTAATCAGTCTACTCACCAGGACTTTGAGGAAAGTCACGATGATCAGACCTGTCTGATTTAAAATAATCTTTAGATGAAGTTATCAGGCCTTCGGATTTTGGATTCATTGGCCAGTTCGCCTTATCATAATTTTGCTCTTTGTGTAATCGGTGGAAGTCTGTGTTGTAATTTATGATGACAGCAGCAGAATTTTTATTGTTCTTTATTCTGTGCAGCAGAATAAAAGGAGACCTTAATAACTTCACAGCCTTGCAGCCTGCCTCCGCTCTTACACAGACAGAAACACAAGCTAGTTTCACTTCACGCACTAAGACGGCACGAGGTACGCAAAGCGGACAAAACACAACAAAAGTAACACTGTTTAATAAACACAGCAAAACACCATGAGAAAAAAAAGTAAAATGAAATAAATAAATTATAGAAAAATCAATAATTAGCCCACAAACACCTACCTAACGATCAGAGAGGGAAGAAGTAAGGAGGGCAACTCAAATATAAAAGAAAAGAAACTAACGAAGAAGACACCAACAAGAAGAGGGAGACTGGGCATAAAAAAATTAAATTCACAAAAATACACATATATTAACACAGGTATAATTTTTGTAATTAGAAAAAAATAATAATATACATTTAATCCTGTTACATTTGGACTTGGTCCTCTCTGCTACAGTCTGGCAGACATAAAACTGTCTTCTTTGGGGGGTTCTTGGACCAAACCTTTGCGAAATTGTTGAAAAGGTTTGTTTTGATTTAATTATCTTGTCGAAATGTTTCTGAAAGTCAACATGTCCTCCAAACAACTTCATCTTTTAAACTTTAAAATAGTTGAAGATGGGTCGTGTAGTCATGGAGGGTTATCTGAGGAGCTTTTGAGGATGATGAAGTTATCAAACTAACTCCTAATGCCAAGAATTAGTCGTAGAAGTCACCCGTCATCACCTAAACTCACTGGATAAAAGCACAACAACCACACTTACTGATGGAGAATACAAAGATAACGATGTTTAATAAGTTTAAAAAGAAAAAAACAATTTTCCACCATAGATGGGTTTGGTTTATAAATCCTGCTGTTTGTATACACTGGCTGAGAGAGCGCTGCCATCTTTGGATGAACTATTACAAGCCCAAACCGGTACATGCAAAGGTAAGACTATTCCTCTTTGTTTGGGATCTGATAAAGTCTGGAAGTAAAACAGAAATAAGATGACGAAATTATCCCTTGAGGGAAAACGGAGCCTCACAGATCAGGGTATCGATAACAGAACAATAAATCAGGCTTATTGAGCAGATGGAGGCACGGTCCAAACGCAACATGATGCAGATAAAGATACGGAGAGCTGCTAATATAACAGCGAAGCTACCCGAGAGCTTTAACTCAAAACAATCCGGCTCGAGTCGGAGAGGGTTTCTGCCTTTCAAAATGTTCGGAGTCCCACTTAACAGCATTCCAGAGATTATTCCACATCATCCACACACCTAATGATAACAAATAGCCTATTATTACAGACGTATAAAGACACTAATGATCTGTCGAGAGGTAGACAGGCATGCAATTAAATATGCTGCCTTGCTTTTTACTGCCGGCACAGCAGACAGTGTGGTCGTGGGCCGGGTCTGCGCAGTCTGCTCAGAGGTGCTGCTGTGTTTCCTCTCACTGAACCATGACAGCGGTCGGCCTCTGAATGCCACCTAACGAGAGCGAAGCCAACCTGCTGCTGCTGATGTCATCTTTGGCTAACAAGATCCCCGTGAATGACGGCTCGAGGACTGATAAGAGGGAGACAACGAGTGGTTAATAATGATCGACGGGGTGATACAGAAGAGTGGAGGTGTGCGTACTTGTTGAAATAATAATCCTGTTGTTTTCTAACAGAGGTTGACCTTTGAACCTTGGCCTCTTAATCTAACTGTGCTTTCGTAAATGCTTTTTTATGCTACCGCCGGGGCTAATGACTGTGTTTTATATGACAGGGGTCACTCGTATATACCCACTAAAAGCTAACCACCCCTTTCTGCAGCCGCCGAATATCCAAACCTCCAAGTTACACTCTCGGAAACATCATTGCTTTGGATTCATCAACGTCAACGACCACCTCAGATCTTCTCGCTTCAGTTCTTACCTGGACTTTACCCCGCGAGCTGTGATGTGGCCATTGTTCGAGGCCTTCTTCATAACAGCGCCCCATAAAAGCTTGGGTGACGCGGACACTGAAGATCCACTGTACTTTCTGACAGCGCCAGCCTTTGTTCGGGTGAGAAAAGTTTTAAGATCCCAAAGGACCGAGGCCGCTTGGCCACAAAGTCTCCCGCTCTGTCCGTGACAGACACACCGGGCCAAAAGGCCAGCGGAGACAGAGACTGCCGAGGGAGAAAGACGAGAGCTGGAACGAGGACGAGCGATGACAGACTGGGAAATGAGAGCGGAGAGGAGACCGACTGGAACTGGATTCTTTAAGTTGGAGACTTTGGTATATGAAAAAAGAAAACTCACTTGGATACACACACGCATACACACTCCCTTGGCATGGCTTCATTTGGCTTTTTTACATCTTTCACTCCCATGCCAAGAGACCCTGTCGTGCCCCCGACCAATGAGCACCCACATCTATAATTAGCTCAGCGGCACACCTGCTTACCACCCACGTAACAAGAGCAAATGATCCAGCATAATTGCACATTGGACGTGTTCAAACAAAGAACTTCATGTTGAAAGGTCTTCTTTTCTCATGAGGGAGGGAGAGAGAGAGAGAGAGAGAGAGAGAGAGAGAGAGAGAGAGAGAGAGAGAGAGAGAGAGAGAGAGAGAGAGAGAGAGAGAGAGAGAGAGAGAGAGAGAGAGAGCGCACCTCTGGAAGAGAGGTCACAAAGACGGGATGGAGAAACAGATATGAAGAAAAGGAAGACTTGAAGAGGACTCAAAGACATTAAATCAAGAGGTGATGAAGAGTAGATACTGTCTGAGTTTTAATTTGCTAATTTTAGGTTAAAATTTGACTTTTTTCAGCACTATGCTCACAGAAAACCCATTCGCTTTTGCACTATCTGCAGACACAACACACACATACTCTGTGAGCTCTTCAGAAGTACTGAAATATATCTCATGGCTCACCTCACTAGCCAAACATCTTTTTAACTTTGCCTGATTTCTTTAGCAAAGAGACTAAATACAACTCACCTACTCTCTTCCAGCAGCCGCTTGTTTGTAGTGAGACCTCAGGCCAGTCCATTAAGGACTACAGCGGGATGATGCAGCTCAAGAAAGAACATTTATGATCATTTCTTCATGGAAACGCAATCAGACCGAGACGCTAAGGCAGAAGAACTATCGCGTCTGCAGTGCAAAATGATTAATATGATGATTATTACTTCAAGGAAATGATAAAGAAATGAACATAAATGTTCTTCCTTGAGCTGCGTCACCCCACTGTAGTCCGTAATGGACTGGCCTGAGGTCTTGCTACAAACAAGCGGCTGCTGGAAGAGAGTAGGTGAGTTGTGTTTAGTCTCTTTGTTAAAGAAATTAGTCAAAGTTAAAAAGATGTTTGGTGGCTAGTACTATGTCTGTGACCCTATATGTACTGTTGATGAAGTTAGGTGCTGTTCTGAGCATTATTTGTGGCTATAGAGTGGTGTTTTGGTTGAGGTTTGCATGTGGAGACATAGACCGCTGTGTATCGCTATTGTGTGGTTGTTACTAAAGTTGGTATAACTAGAGAAGCAAGTGGTCGCCAACATTTGTCTCTTCAGGGAGTGTCTAACTCAGTGTTACAGTGTCTTTGACCCTAATTTAATTTTATGCCGGAATATCCCTTTAAGCCCCGGCCTCACTGGTTATCGGCCTTTCAGGGTGAGCTTTGAGGTCACGAGGTTAAAAAATGGCTGACTTTCTCAGCTCACAAACGGTTTCGGCTGTGTCAAAAATGCTGGCGAGGAAGAGTCCGGTTGGTCGAGTGAAGGAGGGAAAGACTGGGCGCAGATTACTGAATTATGACATGCACACTGATTATGGACTTCTAGGACAAATCATGGCCTGAAAACAACCTGATGTTAGAAATTTTGGGTGGTGGACACCAAACTTTTACGAGTCAGAAGCCAAGCCACCAACTTCACAGCAGAAAGTCAATGCACCATGGCTTTATAGCAAGCTTAGTCCCAATTCTCTGCACAATGGCAGAATAAGCAACAAATCAATCAAAGAATCGTACCCATAAATGAAATAAAAAGGCCTGCTGTTGGCTCTGCGCTCGTTTTGTCACTTTCTAAACCAGAGCAGGGAGAAGTCCACTCGCTCCTCTCCCGTTCGAGGCCAACAGGAGATAAACTTCTGGGAAATCTCAGAGTAAAACGCCACAAAGAGTTAAGATAATGACATTTAAGCTCGGGTCGTTATATTCAGGAAGTTGTAACATACGACATCCCTCCCCGGTCACATCATCAGCCTCTCTGCGCTCCCTCTTTGTGACATCTGTTACTAATGCTGAGCCAGCACATGGGAAACTCTGATGGAACTGAAAGATCTGGATTCATGCACAGTCAAACAGCCAACCTCTCTAATGGTCTTTTATGATGGGTAAATCTCCTGACACAAGTCACGCTGACGTATCGGAAAAATCTCTGCACCGCCATGATTGCCGTTAGCGGACTCCAAGTTTGCATGCTTAGCTTGGATGCAGTTTACATCCACGCTGCTGCAATCTGATTGTGCAACCATATTTGTCATCAGGGGCTCTTGTACCCGGAACCAATGACAACACAGCTTACATATTACCAAGAAAGACATTCTGTGAGTGAATCTGGCAAATGTAGAAAGCCACTTCTGGCGTGCAAACCTCACTTCCCTGAAACCGTTCCTGTTGGCTGCGCCTGCTGAGCGACAATCTCCCATCTCAAACGGAGGATCTCTGCATGTGTGTGACCCGAGGTTCAAGGGTTGATTGCTCGCAGTTCAAGACTCCGGAGCTAAACATGGCAGACGCAGGCTCCAGAAAAAGAGAGAGGGGCTGTATCGTGGCCCCAGAGTGCCTGGCCTGTTGAAATATCCAGCTCAAATGCTGTAAATATTGACTTTGCTAAGCCTGTGTTTACCTCTGAGGTTCTTGGAGGAGCTACAAGGCAATTCATTTTTAATTCAAGCAAATTTCTCTGGTTTTGTAAAACTCTAGAGTGTTTGTTTCTGCTTACAAAGCTTCAGTTTCACAGTACAGGAGTCACTTTGCACGTGCAAAAGACGGAGAGGCAGAGAGAGAGGCCGTTTCCATTGTGTAAACTCAGAGAGACATACACAGTGGCTGACGCCGGACCCCCCTCTTTTATATAAACTCAATCCAGAACTGTTATTCAGTGGCCTGCCAGCACACCAGCTCCACTTCTGCCCTAATGTCTTCTTGCTGTTATGTTGCACGTGGGCTCGAATGACAACATTACATCAGAACCTCTTTGAATCCTTAATAACTTAAACTCTGAAGGTGGAGCGATGATTTATTTCAACTCCACAGAGTGAGACGATTACGGGTGTCACTCAGAATCACCGGAGTGCGCGTAACGTGGAGAATAAAAAGTGTTTCGCATTATGTAAAGAGAGGTTGGGTTGTTATTCACCTGAGCAAATACATACCTGAGCATATGATGTATAGGATTAGGACAAAAATAACAGCTTTGAGAAATGAGGCTTTACATCGTCTGATTGATTAATTCCACCGGGACATTAGTGTTTGGACGAGGTTCACCTTTGTGCTGCTGAAAAACTGATTGATGCTTTTCATTTTCCAAGTTAAATGACCAGAGTAAGCGCATGTGCTCGCGGCTAACACTTTAGTAAACAACATATTTGTTTTGCATGAATGAAACTTGCACAAATACTGTATAGACTCTGGTATATTGAGGTTGTTCCAAAGGGCCGGCTCCAGCTCAGCATGCACCCGAAGATTAGCAAATATCTTGGCACGGTAGCTAGCTCGATTGTTTGCCAAGTGCGCTATAAATTAGCATAAAAAAAGCACAGTGGAATGCATTACATCGTGTTTCACACAAAGCATGTAATAACTGTTGCATGTGATCTAAATCAGCTCACAACTATTGGAGGATGTAGGGAATTGAAGAGTTTTAAAACCTGGCAAAGCTAGGAAGAGGGCTCACAACGGCATTTTTGTATTCTGGGAGGAATAATCGATGGCTACACTTTTGAGAAGTAAACTTTTATATGTAAAATTCAGTGAAAAAAACGGCCCTCAAAACCCTAGTTATCGAAGTTAGAGCTGTATAATGATTGCTTTTTAGACATCTCAATTAGTAGCATGATTTCTATGATAAATACCATACTAAAACAGCCATTTAGCCTATAATATTGATACAGCTCTTACCAGTTGCAGATGATAGGGATTTTTTGTGGAGTGGCGTACCTGCAGTGCTTCAGGAGCGTCTCAGCCTTCTCGGTTGTAGCTCTGTGTCCTTGCAGCCGGGTGATCCTGTTCAGCGCGAGGTTTCATCTGGTGGAAACATCTTGGATTAATGGCTCCATCTGCTTGTAGTTGTTGCAGTCCTGCTGTATTTGTTGGACTCTACCTAAAATGTCCAAACAGTTTGCTGCACTTTGTCTCAAAGACCAAAAGACTGTGTGCAAACCAAAACTGTGTGAATGTGTTTGAAAAACAGGGGGTTTGTTTTTGTCTTGTTATATCCTGTTGCTTTGCAGAAAATGTTACTTAATAAGGTCTAAAAATAAAGATCCAGGAAAAAACTCAGGGATCGAAGACACAATCAACCAACAAAGAAGGAGGGAAACACTGAGACTAAACGCACACAGAGTAACGAGCAACAGGTGTGAACACAAGACACAGGTGAAACTGATGAGGCTAATCAAACAGGAGGGGAAACAGGAAGTAGAACAGGACTTTATCCTACAAAATAAAAGAGAAAAGGGTGAAAACTGAAGAACAACACATGGAGATCAGGCACAGAGGGATAATAACAGAGGTGGGGGAAAGTCCTTATGTTGCAAGTCCAAGTCGAGTCTCAAGTCCGAGGCAAGTCCAAGTCAACACAGACAAGTCTCAAGTCGTTAGTTGATGCAACACTTTTTAAATGGTTTGGGCTTGCTGTAAGGTATTAAGTGACTTGAAAAGACTTGAAAATACTTTTCAAGTCACTGGGCTCAAGTCAAGTCAAGTCTCAAGTCTTTAGCAATCAAGTCCCAGGCAAGTCCAAGTCATTTCTTGATCATCAAGCAAGTCAAAAACGGGACTCAAGTCCAAGTCGAGTCTTAAGTCATGTCATCAAGCCCCCACCTCTGGATAATAATGACTGTACACACACTCAGGGGGACAGAGACTCAAGGATACAACGTACAGAAAATGAGTTATGGTGAAAAATCTGAGTAAATCCCAAAGGAGGCCTACAGATAAAGCAGCAGGTTTTCTGTGTCTACGTGTGTTCCACATCTGACAGCAGTTCAGAAGAGGTGCTGGGCTATAAATTCAGTCTTTCTCCTGCTTGGGGTCATACATTGTGTTTAGAGGTAGAAATATATAGCTGTAATATATCATAATGAAATGCCATTAACATGAAGACTGATCTGCTTTGTCAGGGAGGATGTGTCACGGTATGATGAACGAGTACAAAGACTTCATAAATACCCTGGGAGAAGTGCAGAGCTGCTGGGACAAACGCCCGGGATCCACTTAGAGAAAGAGGAAGATTTATGCTCCTGAAAGGCAGAAGGAAAAAGAAAAGCCACGAACGGAGAGAGAGAGGACGAGAGGAAAGAACATGACAATTTTTTTCTTCGGGAGAGTTAAAATATGAGTTTGTGATTCTTAAAAAAAGGATCAAATCTTATCTGTGCTGAGATAGTCTAAAAACAGGACATGTCATCATAGGTGAAAAGTTTTAAATCAAAAAGTAAAAACTTCTCATGACGAGGCTGGAATTTGCAAATTGCTGTGTTTCATCCTCACTTTTCAAACAGCAATTTTTCAAAACAAGAAACAGTGACGGAGAACTAATAAGAACTTTAAAGGTGTAATTTGTTCCCCCTTACCAGGTGCAACATGCTAATGAGAGAGAGAGAAAACGATGCACAGTTGGTACACGCCCACACATCACTGACTGGAGGTCGAATGAGGCAACCTAATTAAAATCACTTGTGTGGGTGAGCCATTGGTGTGCAGCGTCTTGAACAGGCAATTAGCATCTATGGCCACGCAGCCACTGAAGAAAACATTTATGTATACGTTCACCTCACTTCACCGAGTCAACCCTGTGGCTTCACCCCACATACAGCACCAGAAGAAGTGCAAAATAGTTAAATGAAAGTTGAGTCAGCTGTTTCTGTTTCTGATTGGCTGATTGCAATAATTGTTTTGCTTCATTTTACTATCTGAACCAACCAAAGCGAAAAGGAGGAAAACGGGTCAAACTAGAAAATAAAAACACCTCAAAATACATATTTATATTTTTGTCACATTATCTTATTTAACAGCCGATTCTTATAATTCTGATTAATGTGCAAGAGTTTATTTATCGATTGAAGTTAAAAATGTGACTGACTGATCTGACTCTGTTCACAAATGCAATAACACCAGTGTCATCCTCCCAAACCATGAGTGCCTGCTTCAGATGAACTTAATAATTTGCTCTGTGGGACAGCCTACCTTTAGGTTTAGTGGTTAAGATCTATTTAAAAAGTCATGATGACCGTAAAGGACTTGGTGGTTGGTGCCGAGTTATAAAAGTCAACGTGACCTTTGTGTCTTGAACCCATCCATCTGCAGATAATAACAGTTCATTAAAAAGTCTGAGTCTGTTTGGGGTTTCTGCTGCTGAAATGAGGAATTTTACTGCTACTGCGGCTTATTGTTGATGAATTCCTAATAATCTGTGGAACAAACTAATCAGCCAGCCAGCCAGACAAAAAGACAACCAACCAACTAACTAACAAACCTCATTATTAGAGTCAACCAACAAAGCAGCCAGCAAACTAGCCAACCAATTTAGAAACAAATCAGCTGATCAGTCAGCAACAAAACCAACTAACCAACTAACCAACCAGCCAACCAACCAGTTAACCACTCAGCCAGCCAACTAACCAACCCAATGATTAACCAAGCACAGATCCAGCGAGTTATCCAACCAACCAACCAACCAACCAACCAACCAACCAACCAACCAACCAACCAACCAACCAACCAACCAACCAACCAACCAACCAACCAGTCAAACTGCTAACTGGCCAACCAATCAACCAACCAACCAACTAAATCTGCCATCAGAACCACCTAAACTGGATCCTTTGAAGTGAAGGAGTTCTGGTTCTGCTCCAAGCTCCCTGTAGGTTTCCAGAACTCTTTAACTTCTTTCGAAGACTGAGTCCAGACGTTCTCTCATCTCACCTTGAACTCTTTTGGTTATTGGCCAAAGCTCATGACTAAAGATGGAGGTCAGAACGGAGACTACCTTTAGCGTACACTACTACTGATGTAAGACTAACTTATCTGTCAGTGTCACAGAGACAGGACATAAGGTCTTCCTCTGTATTTCTGGGTGAAATGAGCCCCTCCACTCTTAGACCACATTACAGGAGTTTGTCATAAATTCGCCGAACTCTGGAGGCTTGGCCTCATAACGCATCAGTTTTTGCTCCCATGACTTTCTCTGGACGAGACATCTCTTCTGTATAAATCAGTCCATAAGACATGCAGCAGTAAGGGAGAGAACAAGGGAAAGAGTGACAGCATCAAAATACTTTCAGAGTGCGAATCGGTCTCACATTTACATTTTGAACTGAGTCATAGCTCATTAGAAAAACAATATCAAGTTCTCTTTCTTCTTGGAGGTGAAACGGAGAGCGGTCATGGCCTAATGGATGTGTGTCTAAGAAGAACTTCCAGGAATCAGATTGTGTGATTCACTCTGGGAATGCCGAATACCTTTTTTTTTATTGCTGCTCTAGATAAATAATTTATATTCTTAATTCCTTTTGATGCTTTTTCATGTTCTGTTCCCTGTTTTTCTCTCACTTTTCCCGTGTCCACAATCTCTTGTAACTCTGACCTCACCTTTCCAGGAATGCCCACACCCCTCCTTCTGTCACTGTTGTCTCTCTTTCTGCCTCATACTGGGAGGGATTCCCACACCTGACCTCACCTGGCTTCATTTTCGGCACGTCGGCGTAGCGCTTTCCTCAGCCGCCCTTTCGCCTCAGCTCCCCTTTAGCTCTTGGCGTTTCGGTCTCCTTGTCTGCCCGTGAATGGTGGAGTGAAATGGAAGAGCTTCGCCAACAGGTTAGAACACATTATTAAGTTCTTAGAAATAATCTGACTGATATGGAGCTCAAATACGGTGTAATTCAAGAAGACAAACACTCACCTAAACCTGAAATGTCAGTCAAACAAACCTCCAATTACAAAGTCTAATTATATCGCTGTGAAACATGAGTCCGAGGTATTTTAAAGGTAATACGACACAGAAAAAGCTGAGAATAGTGAAGCAGACAACAAGGGATGGTTTAAAAATGAGGTCACAGGAGCGAGTGTTTCGAAACTCTTGACCAAGTTCAAGGATTTGGTCATTTCTTGGTATTTCTTCAGGCAGAACTTTCAAGGAAAGTCGCTGACGCCTCCCACTCACTTTTGTCGCCACCACAAACAAACATGGCCTGTCCTGAAGCCGACTACAGTTTTATTTATGAGCATGGGATCAAATCCACTAATGCCCCACAGGCCTCTGGGACATGTCAAATATACTTCTGTGAATAGTGTCGCTCTCGGTTTGATGACTCTTTAAGCAGCTCCAAAGTAGATCCAAATAGTCCATATGTGAAAGTCTGTAGAATATAATGTTCAAAAGTATGTTTAGATATGTACACAGTAGTGGGTCCTCTTACATTGAGGCCACGATCATGTTTCTACTGTAGCCCCTGAAGGGACAAACTACAAACATTTGTGGCCTCCTGATTAGGGACGTAACAGTAACTGGTGTAATGGTTAATCATGACAAAAATGTTGATGATAACGATTACAGTTTTCATTTTAAAAACCACTATGTGTGTGGGGGTGTTTGTGTGTGTAACGAATCAGCTGTGAGATTAGTGATGATAACTCGCTAATGCTAATACGCAGTGTGCATGCTTTGTGGTGCACCGTACGTATTTATACTGATAGGCACAGAGGTTAAGTCACTTAAGAAAAAAAAAAACATTTTAAAGGAGTGGCAACTTTTATTTAGCCATGATGGCGCCACGATCAATTGCATGTAGGCGCACTGTGTAGCCTACAATTTGCGTTTAAATTTTCTATTAAGCTTGAAATTGAATCATGGCAGAAGGAGGAGATGACAGCATCGAAGATATCCATCAGCCCTCTAAGTATGGGCATATTTTGGGATTTGTAGGAATGTCGAGGGAACGCTTAGTTGAAGACAGAAATCCTGTCTAGATATGATGAAACGATAAAAACAAGGTATTGTTTCGCGTGAGTTAAAAGCATCAAAAATACAATAATTAATGCCTTTGAATACAAAAACCATGAATATTTTGGTCACAAAACCGTGAGGTAGAATTTTTGTACTGTTACATCCCCACTCATGAAACTGTTTTTGAGTATGAAGGAGGATGAAAATACCTCTCATGCATCCCTGGACCTTCTTGTCCATCAAGGCCACCACAGCCTCATAAAAAAGGGTGAGCAAAGGAGCGTTTCAGTCGACAATCTGGCTGCTAAACCTTCTTAATTTGAACACTTCACAGTTGGATCGAGGTTGGTCAGGTTTTACATATGCTAGTTTGTATCTAATGTATAAGTTGAACAGAAGTGCAGTCATTGGTTTGGTTTCCCACAGGAATCAAACCAGCAGTCCTGGGTGAAGCCACTATGCAAAGACGAACTTCATGCTAACTTAACTAGCTTGAACGCACCATTGAGTCTATAAGCTCACTATCCAACAGCATCATATTGTGACACACAGAACCACTTATCAGGCTGGAGATGAACTAGTAATAAGTCATAGACAGAGTATATTTACAGTGGAGAATTTGGCCACAGACGAAGAGGACATGTTTAACACAAAAGGTTAGTCCAACCCTCTCGTTTCACCTACATCAATATTGTAGGAAACCGAAGACCGGCAAACACTGCACTTTCACATGGAAGAGTGACAAGACTTCATGCTATTGTTACAAAACTGATATTCCCATTTTACGATATTTAATGGCGACGTTTCAAACCCAACATCTAAAGTTTGGATCTCTCAGAACTTAGATACAGGCATCTCTCCAAGCAAACACCTTACATCAAACAGCTCGAAGTCTTTTATTTGAACGGGGAAAGCCCCATCGAGAACAGGCAGCTAAGCCAGCAGCCATCTGCCTGTGATTACAGCTTGGGAACAATACTAAAACAATGGCCACTTGGGCATGGCAAAAAGCTGGGAGAGCCTAACAATGATCACACATAACAATTACTGGGGAACCGATTCCCCCAAGTCTCCTGTTTGTAGAAGTCAAAGCCGAGGATCTGGCAGGCCTGCTGATCTGAGGCATCCAGCGTGTAAGTCGGGCCAGAGAGCAGACGGCTGATCGGATCAGCACCATGTGTGGTGTGTCACTCCGGGTCCTAATCAAAGACATCTCCCTGCACATACGGTGTACCATATATGTTCTGTCATGTTTTGGAAACCTATTGTCATTTCTTTCCATGACGTGGAGATATTTCCAAAACTCTGAAACACATACAGTATGGCCTCAGTGTCAGTTTCAGTCAGGTTGTTTTAACTAAGCAGTGGACACATCAGAACCGAACACCCGGGCTTTTGACGAAGTTAATTCTGCTTCCCAACCAGCTAAGCCACCTGTTTCCTGACTACAGTGCATTTAAAGGTTTTGGTTAGCATCATCATCTGATTGTCAATATATATGAAAAACACGCCCTTAATTATGAGATAAAGACCTTTACTTTGTACCGTCATCCACAGACTTGAGTTGGTAGTGTTATTTCTAATGGGTTGAAGACACAGCCAACTGATGCGCTCTTAGCAGTTTGATTTGAGGCCCTGTTTATACTTACCCGGTTATTTTTAAAAACTGAGACATTAACCATCGATTGCACCCTTCGTTTAGACGCAAACGGAGAATTCGCCCCTGAAAACGATGCTTTTTAAAAACTCCGGCATGTTTGCATGTAAACAGAGAAAAACTGAGATTTAGGGAAGTTGATGGCAGATTATGCGCACAAAAGAAGGAAGTGACGTTGTTGTTGTTGTTGCTCTGCAGGATTCTGATTGGCTAACATGGGCATGAGCTTCTCGCTACACTGCCACTCACAGGTTTCATATGCTCTTGATGGCGTAAACGTAGTCTGAGATCCTCACAAAGCCTGTTTTATTTAATGTCCTTTAGACCAGTCGGTTAAAAACTAAAGCTGGTTTTAAAGCAGTTTTGCTAAATGCACAAGCACACAGTCCAAACCAAACCCAGAGATGGTAAAAAACAAGTCTGAATACTGGCTTTTTCCCCTTCAAATGTCCATCCACAGTCAGCTTCCTCTTGGATGGATCCTGCTATAGCCATCTCACTGAAAGAATAAACCTGCAGTGACAGTGAGGGCATAAGATAAAATAATAATAATCAGTTTTCTTACTGTGTGTCAGAATCTGTGGCAAAACTCTTCATCGAAAGGATGCTGTAAACCCTGATTTCTCCTGCCGTTCACAGGTTTTGGAGTAGTTGTCTAACACTGAAAGCTAACTGTCTATAAGCACTAAAGTAAAACCAGAGGGAAACCCTGTTGGAGTCTTTTAAAAGCTGCACATCACACAGCTCTTTAAGACGAGAAAAAGATTTGAGAGTGACTTCAACTTTACGTTTAAGTCAGTGTATCTGCTGTGAGGCCACAGGGCACTCAAAGGACAGTATGTCAAGCCACATGCATGTCTGCTGTGTGGGAATGTTTATGTTTGCATGCATGCGTCTTCGAGGTTTGTGTCTCTTTTGCATCACTGAGCAGAAGCGGGCTCCCTCAGTTACAGACAACCAAAGATGATCGTCAAAAACCAGCCCGCTCTTCCTGTAAAAACTCACTTGTGTAAGAGTGGTTTGGCTTCAAACCGTGCCCATCTGAACCGGTAGACGGGATTAAATGCCCTGATGCTCTGGTATGTCTGTAAGCAGACACACACACACCCCGATATAGCCAAAAGGGACTTCCCTGCAAATCCAGGAAGTTCAGCGTTCTCAGACTTAAAATAAATGTGTACACATCATGCTGTCATGGGAAAAGACCAACTCTGTCAGCCGAAATCCTGCGCTGCACAACACAGAGGAAAGGTGCAGCGCGTTTATGTGGAATACACTTCTCTGAATTACAGCACGCATAAACACAGAAATATGAATACTGTAACTCTACGTTTTATGTGCCAGGGTGCAAACGACCTCCTCAGTGGATAAACTCCGCGGTGCGAGAGCGGTGCCAAGCAGGTCTGGTCTGGAATGTCTTTAAAAGAGCGCTGGAGGAGGTCTGACTGAGGCAGTGTCTCCACACCTGTTTTGATATGAGGATTTACCCTCAGTGATAAAATGAACCAAACCTGCTTTTATTCTGGAGTGACGCTGAGTTTGTCTCGGTGACGAAAGTGAAAGCTTTGTAAGAGCTGAAATGAAGCTTTGCGTAATGCTGCTATTCCACCCCGCTTGACTTGAAGCTGCACATACCCTACGTCAGCTAGTACCAGGTTTATGATGGCTGTTGCATCGCCAATTTCTGACTGTTTTACTTTAACATATTAGTTTAGAATTTTCTTTCATTTGTACCCCTGTTCTTTCACACTCAAAGTCCGCTTGGAAGCGCCGGATTAGGGACCAAATGTTTACATCGTTGCATTTTTGACTGGTTAGCGTCCACATGGGACTTTTGCTAAGCTAACGAAATGGTTAAAAAAATAGGAAAATTACCTACTCATTTGGGGCACAGAAAGTAGCCGACCTGAGAGAACAACACGCGTCTTGCTTCACGTGATTCACCAGAGGTGGCGGAGATGTCGTGGAAGGAGACGTCGGGCACAGTCCGGTGTTTTGACTGTCTGTTTTCCGTCTGCTGCAACCTTCGGCCGGGCATAAATGTGTTATTGATTTAATACTGACATGTAAACAGTTGACAGGCGGAT